GGTTCCATAGCTTAGCTATTGTGAATTGAGCTGCTATAAACATTGATGTGGCTGTGTCACTGTAGTATACTGATTTTAAGTCCTTTGGGTATAAACTGAGAAGTGGGATAATTGGATCAAATGGTGGTTCCATTCCAAGTTTTCTGAGGAATCTCCATACTGCTTTCCACAATGGTTGCAATCCCACCAGCAATGTATGAGTGTACCTTTTCCCCCCACATTCTTGCCAACACTTATTGCTTGTATTCTTGATAAATGCCATTCTGACTGGAGTAAGATGAAATCTTAGTTTTGATTTGCATTTCTCTAATTGCTAGAGATGATGAAGTGTCTGTTCATTTCCTTAGCTCAATTATTGATTGGGTTATTTGTTTTTTTTAATGGTAGGTTTTTTTGAGTTCTTTATGTATTCTGGAGATTAATGCTGTATCTGAGGTTCTGGTGGTAAAGATTTTTTTCCCATTCTGTAGGCTTTCTCTTTGTGTTATTGTTTCCTTTGCTGAGAAGAAGCTTTTTAGTTTGAATCCATTCCATTTATTGATTCTTAATTTTACTTCTTGTGCTTTAGGAGTCTTATTTAGAAAGTCAGGACCTAAGCTGACATGATGAAGATTTGGGCCTACTTTTTCCAGACTCACTGTTCTTAAAGCCTGATAGAAAACCTATTCCTTAAACTTTTCCTGCAATATAATTCTCAGATTTTCCTTTGTCATTTTTTTCTCTATTGGATCCTTTTTTTGGGGGGGGCGGGGGGGAGATATGTTCCATTTGTTTCTCTTTGTTTCCCTCACTTTAGTGGAAGATATCTTTCAGTAGCTTCTTTAGGATGTAGGGGAAATAGTTCTCTAAGTCTTGATTGTTTGGCTAGTTGTAGAAATTATGTACTCTCAGATTCTTGAAGGCATTATTCCATTGTCCTTTAGCATCCATTGTTACTGCTGAGTAGTCCTGTACCATTCTGGTTCCTAATCCTTTGGATGTGGCTCATCTTTTTCTCTTTGGAAGCTTTTGGAATCTTTGTCACCTATGATATTCCACAGTGATGTGAAATCTTGATGTAGATCTTTTTTCTTTATTATGCTAGGCTCCACATGAGCCCTTTCAATCTTTTTTTAATACTTTTAGTTTTTGATGGACCTTTATTTTATTTATTTATATATTGTGCTGAGAATCGAACCCAGTGTGTCACACATGCTAGGCAAGCGTGCTACCACTGAGCCACAATCTCAGCTCCCCCTTTCAATCTTTAAACTTATGTTCTTCAGTTCTGGCTTAGAACCCACACTAACTTTCAGCTGTTCTAGAAATCTGAAAACCTGTCCAAACAAACAATTAGTCTCAGTCTTTTGATTTACAGAAAGAGTACACTTTTGGCATTATTCCCAGCTGTCTGAATCAAATAGGAGTATTACCTAGGCTTTAAACTAACCTATTTCCAACCCTAATCATACCCTATGACTATAGAAGTTCCAACTCCTCTAACTTCTAAACTTTTGCAGGGTTTTAGTTTGAGTGAGAAAACCATTTTCACAACTAGATACCAATAAATATAATAACTCAAACATAATAGTTTATTTTTTCTTAAGTACACAGTGCAGTCAGTCATTGGCATCTATGTTATAGTAATGATCCTATTTTATGCATGTTTGCAAAGGTATTTTTTAGAAGTATATACTTCTATATGTAATGATCGTTATTTGTAGGAAGTGGAACTATGAAGGGGCTGAGAAGTTAAAGAGGCTTTCACCTTTAATCTTTTTTTTTTTTTTTGGTTTGTTTTGGTACTAAGGATTGAACCCAGGGGCATACTGCCACTGAGCTACATCCCCAGATCTTATATTTATTTATTTATTTATCTTTGAAACAGGATCTTGCTAAATTGCCCAGTGTCTCCTGAGTCACTGGAATTACAGGCAGGTTTCACCATGCCTGCCTCGCCTTTATTCTTATATTTAATACTTTATTATTATTTAGTATTTTATCATTATTATTATTATTAGGTACTGGGGATTGAACTCAAGGGTGCTCTGCCACTGAACTATATCCCCAGTCCTTTCTATTCTTTGAGACAGATTCTCACCAAGTTTCTGAGGGTCTTACTAAGTTGCCAAGGCTACCCTTGAACTTGCAGTTCTCCTGCCTCAGCCTCCTGAGTCTCTGGGATTACAGGCATGTGCCACTGCAGCCAACAGATATATGAATATATTACACTGAGTAGGAGTTTGAACTTTTTTGGTCACTAACTAAAAAAACAAAGGAAAAGATAGAGGGGCAAAATGCACTGGAGAAGTAAAGTAAAATTAAGGCTGAAAATTGTCTACTGGATTCTAGATCATTACTGGTATTGTGAGATCAGAAGTAATCTCAGTGAAGAAAATATAGTATATCACGAAATAGACTTAATGGTTTAGGCTTAAAAAATTATAGACAAGAGTGTGATTACAGATGAGGATGAGTTCAAGAGGCAGTATCTGGGGTTTTGGGTGAGTTTTTTCCTTAGTGTCTAGAAAATTTGAGATGTTCTTTAGCCTATGCAGGAAGGATCTAGGAGAAAGAAAGGAAAATACAGAAGACAATACAGAAGAGAATGACTTCAAGGAGGATAATTTCAGAACTTGCCTTATTTGCCTCATCTGTCCTTAGATTAGGCCCCACTGCAAGATTAACAGTAAGCAAGTGAAGTATTCAGCAAGACCAGTGTAAGATTGACTGGGGTCGTAGTTTGGTGGTAGAGTGCTTGCCTAGCACATGTGAGGCACTGGGTTCAATCCTCAGCACCAAATAATAATAAAAATGAGCTCAATTCACAGTAGCTAAACTATGGAACCAATCTAGGTGTCCTTCAATAGATGAATGGATAAAGAAAATGTAGTATATATACTCAATGGAATATTACTCAGCTTTAAAGAAGAGTGAAATTATGGCATTTACCAGTAAATGGATGGAGTTGGAGAATATCATGCTAAGTGAAATCAGCCAATCCCAAAAAACTAAATGCCAAATGTTTTCTCTAATATGAGGATGCTAACTCACAATAAGGCTGGGGGGTGGGCACTAAAGAAGAATAGTGTTCCCTTAGATTAGGTAGAGGGAAGTAAAGGGAGGGCAGGGAAGGGGATGTGGGGATAGGAAAGATAGTAGAATGAAACAGACATTATTACTTTATGTATACACGTGACTGCATGACCAATATGATTCCACAACATGTACACTCAGAAAAATGAGAAATTATATCCCATCTATATATGATATAGCAAAGTACACAAATGCATTCCACTGTCATGTATAACTAATTAAAACAAATAAAAAATAATTTTAAAAAAGTGGGAGAGTCCCAAGCTTTAGGTAAAAGGGATTTGATTAGATGGCTTGTGAAACCCCTTCCAATTTTCAATTCTCCAAATTCATTTTATCAAAATTGGTCCTCCTAGGCATGAACTTGAAAGAAACAAACACCCTGCTTTAGAAGGCTTGAGCAGGGAATGCAGGTTATTAGTAAGAGAGAATAGGATGAAGAATTTATTTTTCTTTTGAGGAGCAAAGCATATTGCATCACAAAATTGGACAGAGTTAGCACTTCCTCTAGCCCCTTATGAAGCTAGGAAGCTCTCATTTTCTTTGTAAGTGCCTTTCCCGCCTCTTTTCCCAGGGACACTAATTTAGAATCTGCTTTGCCAAGAACCGGTATATTTTAGGAATTCATTTCTTCACCTCACCAGGGTTATAGTGAGTCATGGATCTGACTCCATTCTTCCTTAGAAATCTGTAAGGTGGAAGATAATGAAGACCTCCAGTGCTACCCCTGCCCTAGGAATATTTTAGGCTCTGGGCTTCTAAGGGTGATTTATTCACTTCCCCCTGGAATTGAAGAAATAATGTATTATATGTTAGATATCCTTTGAGGGATTTAAAAAAATTTTTTTTAGTTGTAGTTGGACATAATACCTTTATTTATTTATTTTTATGTGGTGCTGAGGGTCGAACCTAGCACCTCGAATATGCCAGGGCAACACTCTACCGCTGAGCCCCAGCCCCAGCCCCCCTTTAAGGGATTTTTAAGTGTATTATAAACTGAGCATAAGATGCCTGCGTATAGAAATTTCTCAGGTCAAGCGACTTCAAGAGATGTTCTTAGGGGGCCACTTGGAGTAGGAACAAAAGGGCCTGAATACATCTTCTGGAAAAACTCTCCCAAGCTCTATCAAAGATCAGACTTAAACATTCCTCATTCTGCTTTCTAATATTGGATATCCTGGCACACACATAAGATCTAAATAAATTCCTGCTTCTTGGTTAGTGTCTGCCCCTCTTATGCCCCAACTTTTTGACCCATTGAAGAAAGGGGTTGGATAACAAAATGAGGCAAGAAAAGCGAGTGATTTGAGGTTATCAGTGAGGATGATTCTTATGGGTTCTGTGAGACTCCAAAGTATGTCTGTTGAAAAGCTTGCTCAGCAAATGTGGATCCCTTTTCCATCCCATCCATCCCATGGAATCACACAAGAGCCATGTCACCAAAGCATTTGCAGACTAGGTGTATATATAATACTAAAGGAGTAAAACGTGACATAAAAGTAAATAGCAAGGTACATTTCTTCAGCCTGTGGGAGTGAGCTCCTCTTTCTGTAAGGCACTGATTTACAGATTACGTATTCCAGAATAAGGTCACTTTCCCCTTGAAATGCCCTTACAAGGGAAAAAAAGGCAGGAGTCCACATCACCAGGGTTTTTCCACTCTGTTGAGCCATAGAGCAGTCATTGGCCCTATCCATATTTTCCAGTGTCCTACTTTGCCTTTTCATTTATTCAGGGTAACCTGTTGAAAATTGGCTTATAGCACTTGCTGACAATGAGAAATCCTCACTTGAAGGAAGAATAAGGTTGCAAGGGTAGAGTTCAATCATGTGAGGTTCCTTAATTATTTTTGTGGTACTTTGGGAGTAGTAGGAGAAGGGGGAAGTGACCTGTCTCTAAGAAGTCTCTGTTTTCTATCCCTCAAGCAACCTCATAACATTCTGCAGAGGCGACTCATGGAAACCAACCTGTCTAAGTTCCGAAGCAGTCGTGTACCTTGGGCCTCCAAGACCAACAAATTAAATCAAGCTAAGTCTGAGGGGCTAAAGAAGTCTGAGGATGATGATATGATTTTGGTTTCTTGTCAGGTAATGTTCAGAGAATAGCTTTTCTAGGGCTTGAGGGCAGGATTTGGGGCCCTTTATGATCCCAATAAAAGGTGCTTTCCTCCAAACCTTCTAGACTGTGGGTCTCATCGTGGAATTCATAAATGACTTTTAAAGGGGGCATTCTGGGAAACACTGGAAGTATATGCAATATTTTGTTTGCATGTTCATCTTTATGGGAAGGACCAAAACTTTCATCAGATTTATAAAGGGGTATGTGATTTTTTAAAAAATATATATTTGGTATATAGAATTAAATACCCAAAGTCCTTTGAGATGTTTTGTCACCCTTGGATTCAGCAGGAAAAAGAGCCAATCAAAGGCAAATTTAGCAGTGGGTAAAGATGGGATCCTACCAACCAATAATTGGGAGGATGCTATCCAACCCTGCCTTTCATTTGACATCTGCTGCTTCTCTGCCTCTCCTTTTCTTATTGCTTCTCTGGCTTTTATTGAACAGTATGTTTCCTTCCCACAGTGTGCTGGAAAGGATGTGAAAGCCTTGGTTGACACAGGCTGTCAATACAATATCATCTCCTCAGCCTGTGTAGACAGATTGGGGTAAGTAGCCACTTGTTCTAGGTGGAAATCAGATGTGAATGCACTTTTTGCTTGAATCTATTTTGAGGTTAGACATCCACAGAAGTACAAAGAGAAACATACAAAAATCAGATCTCAGCTGGAACCAGAGTGCTTACAGAGGAAACAAGGGTAGGTTCTCAGGCATCTGGGAGAAGTCAGTGAGCCAGGAAGTCTTAGGCTTTCTGTTAGCTCTCACCTATTAAGTTCTGAGCAAAGACCTATAGACTCTGGAATGAGAACATGAGACTTCTGATTTACCATATGCCCTGCTCTGGTCCACCAGACAGTAAGTCAGAAGTAACTGTCCTATTGTTACTCCTGGTGAGTAAAAGCAGGGATATTGTTGGTCTTAACTTACTCAGGACCTGGAGAACACACTGCCGGAAGAAGCATTAGTCGGAACTAAGAATAGGCTACTGGGCCCTGGCTGTCATAGGAGTGATTTCTTTTTCTTTTTTAAAAGAAAGAGAGAGAGAGAGAGAATTTTTTAATATTTATCTTTTAGTTTTCAGCGGACATAACATCTTTGTTTGTATGTGGTGCTGAGGATCGAACCTGGGCCGCAAGCATGCCTGGCGAGCGCGCTACCGCTTGAGCCACATCCCCAGCCCCCATAGGAGTGATTTCACTGGGAGTTTCTTAGTGCCTCTCCTCCCCACGAAGAACATGTAAAATCAGGTCCTACTGCTTCCCCTGCTGGGGAATGAGTGGGAGGAGGACACCTAGTATATCGAATGTCTTCAGTTCTCTTAACAGATAGAACTGGGCTCTCCCTCTTTTAGTCAGAGAAAACCATTCTGTATCTTGCCTACTTTTTACTCAAGCTCTACTTTTCTTTTCTTCTTTCTACTCTTTCCTTCAAAGTACCAGATGGGCCTTGAAGTCTAGCCCAGAATCAGTAAGATCAACCCAATAATCACTTTCCATATCTCTAGCCCTAAGTACAATAAATTATTCCCTAGCCCAAATCTCTGCAATGATACAGTCACTGATATAGACATCATGGTCCAGTTTGAGTTACATTCAAGACATCCATATTCTTAAGTAGGCTTTATATAGGCTTCATCCTGTATCTACTCCATCTTTTATCCCTCACCACCAATATGACTCTTTGAAGTTGACTCTATGTATTTTGTATATTGCTATGTAGTGTTGGTGATGGAGGAGTCTGGGACTCAAGTGCTCTTGTGGGATGAATCCTGAGCTCTTATTAGGTAAAGAGATGAGATATGGTGCAACATGATGGTTCCAGAACAACTAATAATGTTCTGTGTATAATTAGGCAGCAGACTGCCATGATTCTCGAGAAATTAATAACCATCTGTAAAACTGCAGTTATTTTTCTTTTGGATGGGCTGTAACACCAAAAGACAGGATGTGGAGGAAAGCAGAAGTATTGGCACAGAAAGTCCATAATTAAGTATTTATCTACCAACCCATAATAGCTCGGGTGCTAGCTATTCCAATAGGCTTATATAACTATGTGAAACATTGGTGGTATTCTTTTCCTTCTTCTTGCCAGGTAATATTCAGAGAATAGCTTTTTTTTAATAGAAAAGTCAAATTAATGAGAATTTTCTCTATAATATTCCCTGCTGATACCATTATTCAATGCATTTACTAAATACATACTTGCCCCCACTAACCTTATAGCCTGAGACAAACCTTCTAAAATTAGGATTAACCCACCTTCTTTGATATTTGTTACCCACAGACGAGTAAAAGGACACATTAACTAAACTGCTCACACATAGGTGGGGAAGTTAGGATGCAGAATAGGATACTCTCTGAATATGTCAACTTTCCTATTTCACCAATGCAGATAGTGATATAAGTTTTTTGAAAATAGTAAACAAAATTTAGGGGTTTTTTAATATTCCCATCGCATGTTTAGGACAAAATGCTGAAACACGTGTAGGCTGGATAGTTCTTATTTTAGTAAATTAATCTCCAGAAATCCCTAGAGAATTCCAATTGTGGATCAGAAGGTAGGCATTGCTGGATTCTACCAGAAACCTCTGCCAAGAGGATTCTGATATCTTTCTTTCTGGTGCAGACTCAAGGAGTATGTCAGATCTCACAAGCATGAAGGAGAAAAGTTTTCTCTACCCCGACATCTCAAAGTGGTGGGCCAGATAGAGCACCTAGTGATCACAATGGGCTCCCTGCGCCTGGACTGCCCAGCAGCTGTGGTTGGTGAGTAAAATGGGGAACTGAACCTATGGGCCCTAATGTAAACCCTCATGAGAACTCATGCCTGTAAATACCGACTTTCTCAAAATCCCAGTTTCTCATTTTTCTGTGCTATAGTCCTTGTTCCAATTTTGTCCTCTAAAGTATTAGATGGACCCAAGCTAATTTAAGACATGCTAAAAATCAATCAGAAAAACAATTGTGGAACTCAGACTTAAAAATCATGGAGCAAGGAAACAAACATTTTTGTGTGCAGGTGAAACTATCCCAGGAGCTTTCCATTAATTAGTTAGTGGCACAAAACAAAATCCTCTCACTCCTTTCCCATAAATCCCTTAATAATTTCTCATATACCTCCTACAATATTCCTCTCATGCATTCTCTTCTAAACTATTCTTGTTTTTGACTACAGGGGTCTCTGTCTTTTAGAGTGAAAAAGACTTGCATTTGAATCTTGACTGCATCCTTTTTTTTAATGAAAATCATAATCCAATTAATAACAGAAAAATACAAATTATCTTTGGGGAATATACCTTGCTTACAGACAACCATGTGCATAAGACACACATATATACAGCTCCTGAAATCCCTTGCTTTTTAACTATAGTGATCTGAGAAAATTACTTAATAATAGGTGCTTAACAGATGTTCATTAGCTGGCTGGCCAGAAGGAATGAAGGATGAAATGAACCTAATGATGATCAAACTGGCTTCTAAGCCATCAAGGAAATGGCTGAATCTTATTATTTTTTGTTTCATTTTCTTTTCATTAGAGGACAATGAGAAAAACTTGTCTCTTGGTCTCCAAACTCTCCGATCCCTGAAGGTAGGATTGACTTCACTTTTCCTCTGATGTTTCCTCTTTAAGGCAGGGATCCTTTTGTATGGGGACCCTATTGTGGAGTTATTGAAAAGGGCTGGGGATGTAGCTTAGTGGTAAAGCAACCCTGGGTTCAATCCCCAATATCAAAACAATAAAGTGACCAGTGATTTTCCTTTGTTTTCAGTGTATCATAAATTTGGATAAGCACCGGCTGATCATGGGGAAGACAGACAGGGAAGAAATTCCTTTTGTGGAGACAGTTTCTTTGAATGAAGACAAGTAAGTGTTCAGATTGGCCAGGAAAAGTCAAACCCGTTTGTCATGAGATGAGGGGATTCTCAGACAGTATGTGGGTTACATCCTGCCTTTAGCTTTCAATCATACCCCAAGCCCACCCCTTCCCACCCCCATAGTTTCACCATCCCACAAAACTCTGTAGCCCATACTTCAGAATGAGCAGTGATAAAATCATACAAAGTGGGGGAAATGGGGAACTTTTAAACCAAAGTTTGTTTTGCCTTTGGTCTTTTTTTAATTTGGTGTCATTTTTCTGATGTTTCTTTCTCATTTCAGCACTTCAGAAGCATAACTACAGTCTATAGCATATCTGCACGCGTGCACACACACCAGGTTGACAGATTGAGAAAACTGGGTTTGAACCAAATGCTGTAGCAACTTGCTGTGGACCAAGTCCTTCCCTCCAATAGATGCTCCAGGGACTCCTTCCCACTCACACCTTTATAGACTACTGTCTGTGCTTAGAGATCTTGTCTGGTTACAGCCATTGTTTTCTACTTCTTTGATCACTTAATTTATAGACCCTTTTTGACACTGCCAGGTCTCCCTTGTGGCCTATTTCTCTGCTTCTTCCAAGAAATTAATTAGTTAAGTGTAGGGGCTGCCAGGTTGTATTTCTTCATAGATACACTTGCTTTTCCTATAGCTAAATGTGTAACAAACAGGAACCTGACTTTTATCTCCTTTCAGAGATATAGGAAACCTATGTATTGGAATTAGAATCCCTTCTAATTAATTGATTTATCAAGTATGAATTGATCGTAAAGAGCCCAGATAAGTAATCTCGTCCAAACCTTTATTTAAAGGTCCAGAGAGGCCAGTGAATTATCTAAACTTATATTTAAAGTCAGTGACAGAAGGGACCTAAAATTCAAACCTGATTTCTAAGCTAAAGCTCCTGTGCTGACTCATTTGTTTTCAAGCCTTAACGGAAAGCAAAGAGGTATGTGTAAAAAACCAAAAAGGCAGGGTAGGGAAATTTGTGCTTGGAGATGTATTCCAGGAGGAACTGGGTCACCTTCTTTGCTAGGTGCCAAGCCCACTTTTAGTTCCCTCCCCTAAATTGTTACATGTAGGCCCTTATCTCAGTGCCTAAAGACTGAAGGTACAAAATGAAATAGTCTTTCACTGAAAACTTCTTGAACAGGAGGAAGGGGAAGAAACCACAGATGGAGGAATATTAATCCCTCTCTGAGATATAATTGAAGGCTTCAGTGAATAATAGGGGCATCACTAAGACATTGAGTGTCCCCAAGATCCAGTCAATATTTTTGCCTAGCTTGACAAAGTAGTTGGAAATAGGGGTAAGGAAAGGAAATTTAAAAAATTCTGAGCAGGGCCAGAATAGAAGGGAGCAGACTAAGTAGAATCAATTGGTAGGGAGGCCTACTGGGGGAAACCTTTCTAGGATGGTGGTAAGGAGTAAAACTGACAGGCAGGGAATCGAAGCTTGGGGAAGTCCCCAGCTCTGTCTTCTTACAAACAAAGAAGCAGAGCACTGGGTGGTGTTAAGAACAACCCTTTTATAACTGCTCAGTATTCCCAGACCCCTATCAAAGAGTTGGGGATATCATGAAGGTAGGGGTTAGAACTTTTTTGTTAGGGTGTCAGCTTAGGCATAAACATACCTACAATGGAATCCCCCCTTCAGTTCAGTCATATAAGTGGTGTTTGGACAAGTAGGAAAAATAGCCAGCTGTAAGTATCACTTTAAGATATTCCCAAGTCTACCCTTGGTTCACAGCAGTAGTTCACGTGGTGTTTAATGGATCCCACTTTGAACCTTGCCAACTACCACCAACTATTTTGTCTAGTGTTTAGTTCCTGCCACTATCAAACAATTTTTTGGAACTTGAATATTTTTGCCCTCACAGAAGCTCCCTAAAGATTAGGAACTTGGTGACCCCCATTTGAACAATTAGGCAGTCATTGGTCATTGTCACTGGGTCATTCCCTAGGCCTCTTTCCTATCAGCCTCTACAAAGGAAGCTGGATGGACATCTCTGCATAGCCATAGTGGAGCAGACTAGGCTACATCTGAAGTTCAGTATTTGAACCAAGGATTGCCAACTTCAGTCTGTCCTTCAGCTACACCCATTCCCTTACCTAGGAGATATTTGCTCCTTCCCACACTCCTCTCCTACCTATCATGTGATGCTTTGTCCTGTGTCTTATCCTAGGATAGAGCTGAAATATTTAATTCCTTGTTTTCCTACATTAAAGTTTAACTCCAAGCCTTGACTTGTGGCCACATGTGAGGCATATTTCAGGCTCTTTCTGGTTTATCATTATTGAATTCCCTTTAGACCAAGTAAGCCAGGAATTCTCAGATTCTGCAAAGATGCAAGTGATTCTGGTTCTTAGTTTAGGACCATATAGCATTAGGGGGATAATTACATGGGTTTAATGATCCTCTGGTCTCTGAAAATCAGTAAGCAATTTTCTTGATGGAGACACCTAAAAATGCCTAAAGGCAATTAGGGTAAGTCTTAAAATTCATTAACTTTCTTTAAATGCTCCAAGTGGATTACTCTGATAGCTTTTATCCCCCTGAGGTTCATAAGGGAGCACTGTCTACTTTGGAGGGGGCTATCAAGATAAGAAGGTGAGGTCAGTTCTTCCCAGAGTCTTAGAAAATTCAGGTGCCTCTGAGGGAGTGGGAGAGGAATGTCTACCTACATCATAGTTCTGATAGGCAGGAGCAAGAAGTACCATCTCATTCCTTATTAGATGTCCACCACAAATATAGGATGTTTAAGAATATTTTTGTCATTTGATATTTCTATGCCTGACTCTTTTAAGGAATGAATATTTTCTGACTTTTCTATTGCTTTGTCCTGCACAGACCCCACCTGGTATGATTTTTTATTCCTTAGCTCAGAGTGGATTACCTGGTATGTTGGCTGCCCTCACTCTCGTATAATAGAAATCTTTCTAGGCTGGGCACACGGAGATGAACTGGATTCCTCCCTCCTGATGCCAGGCCTCTCTGCATTGGCACTTTATCTGCTCAGTGTTTCTGGCTGTGTTGGGTTTATTTGTGAGACTGTTGAAACAATAAAGTGAAATCTTCCCTCTTTGTGCTTGTCTGACAGTCTCTGTGTTAGAGCCCTAACCAGGAAGGTGAGGGAGCCCAGGCACAGCCTGATTACATCAGTGTTTCTCTCTTAGGGCCTTCTGAACACAAGTCTTTGTGGGTTCCTCCATTGCTACTAGTCCTTCAGCTCCCTCTTACTGGCTATATGTCTTTAGGCAAATTGGTGAATCTCACTGAGCTTGGTTTTGTAGTCCATAAAATATACATAATAATAGTACTTACTCATAGTGTTATATGAGATAATCCATATAAAGTGGTCATGCAAAACTTCATATATGAGACTAATCTTTTATGGTGGATCAATCAGCAGTGAAGGAGAGAATACTTCTAGAAAAAAATATTAATTCAAACAGGAGAGGTTAGGGAAGGAAAATGACTGAATGAATCTTAATATATTGTCAAAGTCAATGTCAAATGGTATTCCAAATAAATGCATTTTATATATTATGGAAACTTAACTCTTAAGTGTTAATATCTTTAATCTTTATAAATAGAGTGGTTAAATAGTCAACTAGTAACATGATTTAACTATGAAACCAGATGCTCCAGTGTTGACATACTCAAAACCTGCCAGTTGCCTTGAATAAGAGGAAGTTTGATTTAGTAGAGATACTTGTATTTGACAGGGGAGAGACTTGGAGGGTAGAGGGAGTGGGTACATATAACCTTCTGTACTATAAGCATGAATAATAGGAATCTAACTCTACTTTGATCTGATCTGGGGATTCTGTTATGAAATGCTGGACTCCTTATTACACTGGATGATCTTTACCTGGGGCTGTGGATTTTATACTGAGAAGTGCTATACTGATTCTTATCTTACTTACTCTGGAGATACATAAAGGTATGAGAACTGATTGATGCTAGGGTTGACCTTGTGAGGAACCAATTACCATGTTAAAGTCCTATAGAAACGGTCCCCCAAGCTGGGAATGGAGCCACCATTTGACCCAGCTATTCCCCTTCTTGGTCTATTCCCTAAAGACCTAAAAAGAGCATGCTACAGGGACACTGCTACATCGATGTTCATAGCAGCACAATTCACAATAGCAAGACTGTGGAACCAACCTAGATGCCCTTCAATAGACGAATGGATAAAAAAAATGTGGCATTTATACACAATGGAGTATTACTCTGCATTAAAAAATGACAAAATCATAGAATTTGCAGGGAAATGGATGGCATTAGAGCAGATTATGCTAAGTGAAGCTAGCCAATCCCTAAAAAACAAATGCCAAATGTCTTCTTTGATATAAGGAGAGTAACTAAGAACAGAGTAGGGACGAAGAGCAGGAGAAGAAGATTAACATTTAACAGGGATGAGAGGTGGGAGGGAAAGGGAGAGAGAAGGGAAATTGCTTGGAAATGGAAGGAGACCCTCAGGGTTATACAGTGGAGGGGGTAGAGAGAGAGGAGGGGAGGGGAGGGGAGAGGTGGGGAGGGGGGATGGTGGAGGATGGGAAAGGCAGCGGAGCACAACAGACACTAGTATGGCAATATGTAAATCAATGGATGTGTAACTGATGTGATTCTGCAATCTGTGTATGGGGTGAAGGTGGGAGTTCATAACCCACTTGAATCAAAGTGTGGAATATGATATGTCAAGAAATTTGTAATGTTTTGAACAACCAACAATAAAAAATTAAAAAAAAAATAAAAAATAAAAAAAGGGAAAAAAAATAAATAAAATGAACACAGTGAAAAAAAAAAAAAAAAGAAACGGTCCCCCATATCTAAGCTCATACTAATTTCTCTGTTGTATAAGGAATAACTGGGAAATAGAAAATATACCATAATAAAGAGGTTTCATTATGGCAAATTTGAGCACAAGGGTCTATGAAAGGGACCTATTCTAAGGCCTGACCAAATGGAGGATCCAGCTGTGAATGACCCATAAGGAATAGTTCAATATCAGCAGGTAAGTCATGAGGTGAAGAGTAGACAATTGGGGCTGGGGATGTGGCTCAAGCGGTAGCGCGCTCGCCTGGCATGCGTGCGGCCCGGGTTCGATCCTCAGCACCACATACAGACAAAGATGTTGTGTCTGCCAAATACTTAAAAATAAATATTAAAATTCTCTCTCTCCCTCTTTCTCACTCTCTCTCACTCTTTCTTTAAAAAAAAAAAAAAAAGAGTAGACAATCATATTTCCTTAGTCCATTCTCCTAAATCAGGAGCTAGCCAACTTTTTCTGTAAAAGTCCAGATAAATATATTTGGCTCTATGGGTCAGTCCTTTGCAACTACTCAGTGCTATCACTATGACATGAAAGCAACCATAGGCATATTCAAATGAATAAAATTTGAATTTTATGTAATTGTTACATATTACAATATAATGTCATCTTTAGATTTTTCTTAGCCACTTCAAAGTATAAAAATTATCCTTAGTTTGCAAACTGTATGAAAACAAAATTTGGCTATAGGTTATGATTTGCTGTGCTATGTCTAAATTATTTCATACCTTCTTTTTCTTCTCAAATTCCAATACCTTCTTCCCCATTCTCACTTTGAGATGAAGACTTTGCTTTCTACTTCATTCATGAAGTAATCAGAACACTCACCACCTCACCACATCTATTCTCTTCCCAGCATCTGTATGTATATATTAGCTTTTACTTTTGTTACTGTTACCATAGTATAATACTAGATCTGTATAACTTATTGTCTGCTCCCACACAGAGAGCCTTTGTCTGTTTTGTTCACTCATGTTCACCCAGTATCAAAAATAGTGTTTAGCACAAAACTGCTTATCAAATATTTGAGTTAACACTGGCTACCAGACCAAGTCAGAGGTTTAAGTAGTTTTTCTCCAGTTACTTACCTCCCTTTCCAAAAGTAAGTTGGATCTCTTGATCACCCTAAGTGGAACTTTTCAAATTTCTATTCTATTCTGTCATTTGGTTGTAACTGATTAGATTGATTTCAAAAACTACCAATGTGTTTTTGAAAAATACTGCCATGGCTTATGCAGGAGGCTGAGGCAAGAGGATGGCAAGTTTAAGGCCAATCTGGGCAATTTATTGAGATTCTCTCAAAAAATGAAAAGGACTGGGGATGTAGCTCAGTGGTAGAACACCCCTGATTCAATCCCCAATACAGGGAGGAAAATGAAAAATACTGCAGTACCTCCTTCTAATTGCAAGCCCTTATTGTGTACACAGAGCTTTGCATCAGCTTTCTAATGCCTTATTCTTACATAAGAATAGACAGCCAGTGATCTCGACATTTAAGAAAAGCTCCCAACTCAAAAGACAGAAACAAAGACTGAAAAACTCACATAAACAATTAAAGAAGCAAAAGAAAATATTAAAAATATTCTCAGAGAAATAAGATATTACATCCCCAAGTGGAACAGAATGCTATTTAAAGTCACAGGGACAGATAGGCATGGCACAGAATGCCTGTAATCCTAGTGTCTTCAAAGGGTGAGTCAGGAGGATCGTGAGTTCAAAGCCAGCCTCAGCAACGGCGAGGCACTAAGCAACTCAGTGAGATCCTGCCTCTAAATAAAATACAAAATAAGGCTGGGGATGTGGCTCAGTGGCCAAATGCCCCTGAGTTCAATCCCTGCTAAACACCCCCTACCCATCCCAAAAGTTGCAGAGAAGTGGACAAGAAAGTGCTGCCCTGGAAGATATTATGCTAAGTGAAATAAGCCAGGCACAGAAAGACAAATACTATATGACCCACTTACGTATAGAATATAAAACAATCAAATTCATAGAATGAGAATAGAAAGGTGGCTACCAGAGGCTGGAGGTTAAAGGAAATAGGGAGATGTTGGTCAAGGGTACAGTATCAGTTAACAGAAGGAATAAGCTTTTTGAGATATAGTATACAACATGGCAACTACAGCTAATAATATTGTATATTTTGAAACTGCCAAGTAAATTTCAAATTTTCTCACCACACAAAAAAATGTATTTTTTTGTGCATTTGAGATGTTGGATATGGTAATCTTGGTAAATAATTCTACATTGTATACACAGATTGTGACATCATTTTGTACCCCATAAATACAGAAAATTTGTTGATTTGTAATAAAATGTTTAAAAATTAAAAGAAAATTAGACAAAGTACTTCAGTATATTTAAAATATAATAGAAATTTAAAAATTAAAAAGAAGAGTTGGAAGGTAAAATTTTTTCAGAAAAAAACCCAAAAGAGGTGGAAATGGGGAAGACAGAGTAAAAGTTTCCTAGAACAAAAGCTGTGCAGTAGGTGTAGAGAATAACCAGCCTGGAATGGAGGATTACAGACTCCAGGAAGGTTGACTCCAATTTAAGAAATGAATGGATAAGGGTTGAATGTGTAGTTCAAAAGTTGAGCACTTGCCTAGCATGCTCAAGGCCTTGAGTTCAATGTCCAGCACCTCAAAATAAATAAATCAACAGACTATTTGATGTGTTTGAATGTTTTCAGAGACTTTGGGATAGATTGATTATAGATACTTGAATGTCAGGTACCTAAGAAAGTTTGAATGGAGTAGTAGGCAATGGCTAACGTCAAAGAAAGGAAATGTAATCATATACCTTTGCTAATAATCGATTAACTATAAATAATGTGTACATTTTTGTAATAAAATAATGGTTATTTGCCTAAGTAGGGTAATATAGATACATTGAGGGGGTAGAGGATGCAGAAACAATATGTGTTTATAAGAAGGTTATAGAGGGGGCTGGGATTGTGGCTCAGCAATAGAGCACTCGCCTAGTGCTCGACTGTGAAGAGAGTGAAGCCCTGGATTCAATATGAAGCCTTGAATGTAAAGGCCTGAGTTCAATCCTCAGCACCACATAAAAATAAATAAATAAAGGTATTGTGTCCAACTACAACTAAAAAGTAAATATTTTAAAAAGAGAAAAAAGAAGAAGGTTATAAAGGGGCTGGGGCTGTAGCTCAGTGGTAGAGCACTTGCCTAGCATGTATGAGGTACTGGGTTCGATTCTCAGCACCACATAAAAATAAACAAAATAAAGGCATTCTGTCCATCTACAACTACAAAAAAAATTTTTTTAAAAAAAGGTTAGAGAGTTGCGGCGGGAGAGCGGCGGGGCCCAGAGCGTGACTCGCCCGCTTCGCGCTGCCTCTTCCGCCTCCGCGTCTCGCTGCCGTCCCCGCGCAGCCATGTCCGAGGAGAAGCCCAAGGAGGGTGTGAAGACGGAGAATGACCACATCAACCTGAAGGTGGCGGGGCAGGATGGCTCCGTGGTGCAGTTCAAGATCAAGAGGCACACCCCACTGAGCAAGCTGATGAAGGCCTACTGCGAGAGGCAGGGCTTGTCAATGAGACAGATTAGATTCAGGTTTGATGGGCAGCCAATTAACGAAACAGACACTCCAGCCCAGCTGGAGATGGAGGATGAGGACACCATCGACGTGTTCCAGCAGCAGACGGGAGGCCTGGCCTCCAGAGGGACCACCCCACACCCTGCCAGCGTCCTTGCATTTCTTATTGAATGGTGAGCGACCACGCTGATCACAGAGGAGTCCGAGAAAGACAAGGACAGTCACCGAAACGATCCTTGAAGCACTTCAAGTGCAGCTCAAAACTCTGCAGGGATGAGTCTACAGCTTACATTGGGCCAATCACATTGTTCTCTTCGTGAAATGAGTTTTAAGGTTTTGGGTTTGTTTTTGTTCTCGGTTTTGTTCATCGCCCCTCTCAAAACATGTTTTCCTTCAAACCTGTGGCCAAATGTTGGCGTTCAGTCTGTGGCCAGGCTCTCAGCCCTGGAGAAGTGGTCACTGCTGGAGCTACCTGTCCGAATCACGTGGAGAGCTCATGTTCACACTGTGCATCTGTGGGAGAGTGTGAGGGGTGGAATTCCACCAGGCGCATTATTAAAATTCTAAAAGCTGCAAATGACAGACTTCATCAAGCATATGGTATAGTTGAAGGCAAAATACTGGAACGCTTCTTCAAAGGTAAAAAACAAAATAAGTCCTTCAGTAATAAGGCCCAAGTGCTTTCTGCTCCTGAGTGTGTCCCCTCTGGGTCTGAGGCCCAGGATGCCACCTCTGCACTCGGTGCTTGGGTGTGGGTATGTGGGCAATGATTGGCACAACCAAAACCAGCTTTTATCTTTTCAAAACCAGGAAATAATTACCATGTTTCTCATTTGGTAATTGTATTGTGGCCTCAGATTTACTTCTAACAGATTAATTATGGTCTTTATATAAAGTAAGATGAAATATCACTGAATTTGCAGTTATGTTGTATAAAAGAGCTGCTTCAAAGTGTGGTTGCAAAAGAAACCCACAGAAAGGTGACTTAGTGTTCTTATGGATTTTTACTTTGCCACTGTCCAAATAAGTATCGAAATTATGCATTAGAACAGTGACTCCAGTTCTGTGAGATATTTGGGAATCTTTACCAATTAAAATGTTCATAGTTCTGCCTATCGTCCTGTAAGGATCCATTGCTGCTTGATGGCCATTCTCTGCCTTTTATAGTCACCTGACAGTGACCCATCACCTCGCTTGCTTGAGATCTTGCAGAAATGTCCTCATTTCCTGTTTTGCTGTATGGGCTCTGGTGGGATGTTGTTGGCTCTGTTGTTTGTTCACCAATTTGTACATTATGTTACCCTTTACTACTGTAAACAGTAAAGATAGTTTGGTATTCTGAAAAAAAAAAAAAAAAAAGGTTAGAGTATAAACTCATTGCCTATAGCAAGAAATAAAATGATGGCCTAAATTGAAAAATTAATAACTAGTGGGCTGGGGATATGGCTCAAGCGGTAGCGTGCTTGCCTGGCATGCGCGGGGTGCTAGATTTGATCCTCAGCACCACATAAAAAAAATTAAATAAAGATGTTGTATCCTCCGAAAACTAAAAAATAAATATTAAAAAATTCTCTCTTTAAAAAAAGAAAAAAATGAAATAGTTATATAAAAATAACCAGTATAAGCATCTATTTAGAAATATGAAAATAAATCCCTGACAGATGACCAAAAGATTAAAAATACATTATCTCTAGGGTGTAGAAATTAAGAGTGTAGAAGGCTGACAGGACCTGGTGTTTTTTCTTGTAAGACCAGTGATCCTATTTGATTCTTTTAAATGTTATATGTTGATAAAAATGAATATGATTAATGTAGTATTTATTTGAAAATATTAGTAATAAAGAATGAGGGACAGTTCTCATAAGTATTGTAAGACACTGGAAAACCAATACTGATTTAGTTCCCCTCTTAAACTAAAAAATATCTTGTGGCCTGAGTGCCTGCCTAGCATGTGTGAGGCACTGAGTTTGATTCTCAACACTACATGAAAATAAATAAATATTAATATGGTGATTACGTGAATTAAAAAAAAAATATCTTGCTACTCTGGTACTGACCATACAAACTGTGTTGCTTTGTTATTTCAAGGGCCCAACTAACTTGTTGGCAATGGTAGCACCAAGAGTTCTAGAAACAGAGATAATATTATGGTCCCATTCATTGTTATTATAGTGGGCATGAGCAAGTGATCACATAGTGTTGCATACTAAAATGGCTTTACAGACAACCAAAGGCAGAAAACCTCAGTAAAGGGGGCTGAGAAGGAGAAAACATCCTGACATAAGAAGGCTCATCTAGGACATTCCCAGGGTATGCTAAGAAATAGCTGGAAGGACTTTTGTGCGTGTGTGCACAACCTTCTGTATCTACTGGAAGCACAAAGGAAATCATCATCATTGATGCTGTGTAAGATTCTATTTGTTCTCCTGGACTGCTGTGGCCTGGTCAAGTGCTGAATAAATCAGAGACGATGGGGTGGAGGAATAAGAAAGAAGGGGTCATGCAGAGAGCTCCAATTAATCACTGAAGGGGAATAGATAGGGACCTGCAGATAACTGGCATTTGTCCCAGATACATATATTGTCACTTCTTCCTAACCTTCTGACTCCCTCACTTAAATTTAGAAAAGGTTCCTCTTCCGTATCTAACCATCCCCCACCAGGGGATTTTTCAGGCCTCACGGAGAAGAGGACCCAGACTAGGTGGAAGGGTACACCTGGACTGCATCACTCAAGAGGAATACAGTAGGGAATCTGGTTACAGGAAAGCAAAGAAAAGAGCAGGGAGAAGAGTGGTTAGGCCAGCCTCACTTTTAGAAAGAACAACTCCAAAGTGATTCAGGGTCTAGGAAGACCATAGGTCAGAAATCTTTCTTCTCCACTGCCTACTACGGTGCCCATGATCCAGATGCCACACCTCAGCCTCTTACAGTCAGAAATAAATCAAGCAAGGATTCGAGTAGGTGCCTGGTATTTTTCTTTGAAGCTAACTAGAAGAGCTTATTTCATTCCCTTTTCTCCTTTCCCTGGTTCACACATTTATTGCTGTTTGCTCCAAGAGTTCACAATATTTTGGACGAGGTGAGGGTTATAAAGGGAGATAGGAAAGCATAATTTTATCATAATGGGGTAAATCAGGAAAGATATTTATATCAACACAGAAGAGAGTACATTTGTCAAGGAAAGCTTTCTGCCCTAGAAGACCCCTGACCTAAAGGAAAGAGTTATTGAATTATAAGCAGGGCAGAAAGAGGAACCAACCCTTCCACTTCTGATGAGTCACTTGAAATTACATTCATTTTTTGCCAAACATGTACTTCTCTCAGACCCTCAGCTCTACCTTTCCCTCCCTGATACTCTCTTACTTACATCAGCCTGAATCTTCAGTCAGCCTGTAATCAGGCAGCAATCTTATAGTCATACTCCACTAATGGCAGCCACACTATATATTCTAGAACAGTGCTGCCTAAAAAAATTTAAAATTTTTAGTAGCCACATTTAAGAAGTAAAAAAGTGAAATTAATAGTATATTTTATTTAATCCACTATATCCAAAACATTTAAACTTTACTTTTTTTTCCTTTGGTACTGGAGATTGAACTCGGGGGCACTCGACCATTGAGCCACATCCCCAGCCCTATTTTGTATTTTATTTAGAGACAGGGTCTGAGTTGCTTAGTGCCTCACCATTGCTGAGGCTGGCTTCAAACTTGCAATCCTTCTGCCTCAGCCTCCAGAGCCACTGGGATTACAGTTGTGCCCAGCAACTTTAGTCAATATTTTAAATTTAGATATTTTACATTTTTTGCATGCTATATCTTTGAAACCAGTGTATGTTTGACATTTTTATTATAGCTCAATTCAGACTTGCCACATTTCAAATGCTCAGTGCAACTCTAAATGCTGTCTTGGTCAGGGCAGCTGTCCAGATTGAGAGTATTTGATGTTTCTCCACTAAAAAGATGGAAGCCAGATGGGCATGGTGGAGAGAAGCCTGGGCAACACAAGAAACCCCCATCTCAAACAGACACACACAACAGATGAAGCCCCTCAGATGGAGGCAGTAAGGTATATTTCCTGTAAGCCTCTGTACCCCTATCAACGCCTTGAAAACAATTTTTAAGGAAGAAGTCTTATGAGGTTTCAGCAAAGAGTGAGCACTCCATTATTTAGATACCAGTCCTAGACAACCCTAAACTGATGCCAAATTTGCAGCTGAATCAGCTTTTAGCAATCAGATCCACAGTGCCTCACCATTACATCTAACCCAGGCTGTCTCCAGATTTTCTCTGGCCAGCAAAACACCCACTGCAAAGACTTGAGAGTTCACCAGTGTGACAGTATCTTCACAGGAAACTGGTAAGAAAGCAACTAGCCCAGCTGATCTGGCTGTGATTGGGGTTTGGTGTCATTTGCCATTTGGGACCCAAAATGGCTAAATACATGTGGTGCAGTAACAGAAAGCTTGTGTTGGAGTCTGGCCTAGAAGCAATAAGAATCACATGGGAGGAAAAATATTCAGAAAATTTTACCTGTTGAAACATTTCACAGTTTTCTTTTCGGCCGGAACCGCCATCTTTCAGTAATTCGCCAAAATGACGAACACAAAGGGAAAGAGGAGAGGAACCCGATATATGTTCTCCAGGCCTTTTAGAAAACATGGAGTTGTTCCTTTGGCCACATATATGTGAATCTACAAGAAGGGTGATATTGTAGACATCAAGGGAATGGGTACTGTTCAAAAAGGAATGCCCCACAAACGTTATCATGGCAAAACTGGGAGAGTCTACAATGTTACCCAGCATGCTGTTGGCATTGTTGTGAATAAGCAAGTTAAGGGCAAGATTCTTGCCAAGAGGATTAATGTGCGTATTGAGCATATTAAGCACTCTAAGAGCCGAGACAGCTTCCTGAAACGTGTGAAGGAAAATGATCAGAAAAAGAAGGAAGCCAAAGAGAAAGGTACCTGGGTTCAGCTGAAGCGCCAGCCTTCCCCACCCAGAGAAGCACATTTTGTGAGAACAAATGGAAAGGAGCCTGAACTGCTGGAACCTATTCCCTATGAATTCATGGCATAATAAATGTAAAAAAAAAAAAAAAAAAAAAAAAAGGAATTAAAGGCCCGTGGACTACAAAAAAAAAAAAAAGAAAAGAAACATTTTCACAAACTAGAAAGGACCACTTTTTTTAAAAAATTGTTCTAATTAGTTATACATGACAGAATGTATTTTAACACATTGTACATAAATGGAGCACAACTTCTCATTCCTCTGGCTATACATGGTGCAGAATCACACCAGTAGTGTAATCATATGTATATATAGGGTAATAATGTCTGTCTCTTTCTACCGTCCTTTCCATCCCCATAGCCCCAACCCTCCTCTCACTCCCCTCTGCACAATCCAAAGTTGCTTCATTCTTCCCTACCCATCCCATGGAACATCATCCACTTACCAGAGAAAATATTCAGCCTTTGTTTTTTTGGGGGGGATTGGCTTATTTCACTTACCATGATATTCTCTAATGAAAGGACCACTTTTAAAATCTATTTAGAGAGAAAAAAAAAAACCACGGGGTATCACAGGAGCAGATTTTGAAATTCATAGTTCAATTCCCTTAGGATGAGCAAAAAACCAAAGACCCAGAAAAGGGAAGTGATTTATAAAGGTTGTGATGAATCCTTCATTCCTTCCACTACCTCGTCAGTCTCCATTAACTGAAAAATATTTTTAATTATTTATTTTTTAGAAGTAGTTGGACACAATACCTTTGTTTTATTTTTATGTGGTGCTAAGGATTGAACCCAGGGCCTCGCACGTGCTAAACGATCGCTCTACCGCTGAGCCACAATTCCAGTCCCCTGAAAAATATTTTAATGGGAGACACTGTGCCACCTCTAGGGTGCTTCTAAAATATCTGCTGAGGATGATGTGCCCTGAGGAACTGGGTCAGCACTATCCCATCTCGGACTTAGCGGTCAGACGCCAAGGATAGACAAGTCCTCACCAGTGCGCAGCGCCCGGATTCCCCACCTCCTTGGAATCCTGGGCGAAGGATGCTGCTGCCCAGCCCAGCCCTGCCGCTGTGACCCACTTCCTAAATGCAGGCTGGACCAAGGCGGTCAGCCAGAAGCGGAGGCCACACCCACCAGGGGAGCTAACAAAGGCTGTTAGAAACCTGGCAGGCAGTTGTGTCCCGGAGGCTCCCGGGAGGCAGGTTAGTACCCAAAGTGCAGGAGACGACTCCTTAACCTTCCGACTGGGGTGGGCTTCCGGGAAAAGAATGCTCGGCCCAGACCCAGCCTGGTTTCCGCGCTTGGCACCCGGCAGGCCGCGCCAGCCAGAATGAGCCTCTGCCCCAGCAATTCCTGGAGCTTCGGCTCACCCCGGCCTCCCCTGGATGGCAACGAAGGCTCCGACCCCGCACCCCCTCAGACACTGGAGCTTAATGGGGTCTCCCTGAGTAAAAGAACTTTCCAGCGCACCGGCAGCTCGACCAGCCCCCGCTGCTTCTGCTCCCAGGAAGATGTCCGAGCGCCCAGACTGCAACCCCAGCGCGAACCCTTTCCGTCCGGGAACAGAGCGTTGGCCCACCCCGCGTGGAGTTCGTACAGCCTCCGGGCCTTTCCGCACAGGAAACAGTTTCCGGGGCGGATGCATTTTACAGCTGACCCGGCGCGGCTGATGACGTGAAGTCCCAGACGGAAGTGCGGACGGAGGATACCGAGCCGGATTCCGAGCCGGGAGTTGGTCTCCGGCCTCCGGGCTGCCGGCTGGCTGGGAGGCGGTGATGGCGACTCTGTGGGGAGGTCTCCTTCGACTTGGTTCCATGCTCAGCCTGTCCTGCCTGGCGCTCTCTGTACTGCTACTGGTACAGCTGACAGACGCCGCCAAGGTGAGTCCCGCCCAGCCTTCCCTCCTGACAGGAGCTCCTCCCCTACTTCTGGCCTTGCGAAAACTGGGTCTGCCTACTTGCTCTCTACCGGAGCCCTGTCCCAGCCCTGACAGCCATGCTCCTAGCTTCACAGCCCTGGCAGCACTCACCCCCACTCTTTACTGCCCGGTAGCACTCCTGCCCTCAGTCCTGACAGCCTGGCAATCGCCGCCCCCACACCCAGTCCTGACAGCTACTCTTCCACGTTTTGACATTTCCCTCCCCAGCCCAGACAGCGTCCATCTCAAACTTTACAACCTTTCCAAGAATCTTTAACTCTCCACCTGCTCTGATACCTTACCCCCTACCCTCCACCAGCCTCAGCCTCCGTGTTCTCCAAACCAAATGATAGGAAGCTCCTCCCTTATAGAAGTTTTTCCTATTAGGAACTAACTCCCCTGAACTCATTCCTAAACAGATTCCCTTCCTATCATGGAAACTAATCTTTCCTGGTAGCCTCCCTTAGTAGCAGGACCTACAGAGTATCTCTCACCAGCTTAATAGTCTCATCTCTCCCTCTCAAGGACCTCTTAGCTTCTTTCTTGCCTTCTCTCTTTCTTATAATTTAGTGGAAAAGGAATGAGACAAACCACAGGAAAGGTGAGATTATGGCCTTTCCCCAAGTTTTTTTTTCCTTCTTTCTTTCTTTTTACTTTTCTTTCTTTTTTTTTTTTTTTTTTTTTTTTGGAGAGGGGTACCAGAGATTGAACTCAGGGGCACTCAACTACTAAACCACATCCCCAGCCCAATTTCGTATTTTATTAGAGACAGGGTCTCACTGAGTTGCTTAGCGCCTTGCCATTGCTAAGGCTGGCTTTGAACTGGGGATCCTCCTGTCTCAGCCTGTCCTGGTCTCATACATACTTGTTTTTCTTCTTTGATGAGCTAAATCATTTGGAGGCAAAAATAGAAAGACTTCACATTAGTGTGATGGGAAAACAGAAAGCCATTGCATTTTTAAATAGGAGCTTAAATCTATAATATCCTTTTTATTCTTTTTAGTTATACACAACAGTAGAGAGATCTATAATATCTTTAAACACAGGGACTAAGATAGATTACAGGCAGGCAGATGTTTTTGAAAAGGAGTTCTTTTTGAAATTCTTTCTGACCTCCCACCAGAAACAGAGACAGCAGCAAGTCTCTTGACTTTTGAAACTGCATATTGTTCATCATCACTTTATGTAGTATATTGTGGTCATGTATGTGTTAATCTCTTCTTAGGGTGTGTCCTAGGGCAGGAGCTGTGTCTCATGCTTATCTGAATTTACTCATTGAGCCACAAGGTCTGGCACAGAGTAAACACTGAATGGTTGCTGAGTAAGTTTATGATCAGTGAACAGCTCTGCCAGACATAGGGCTGTATGTGGGAGCAATGGGCATGGTCTTCTGGGGACAAACGAGTAATTGTTTTCTCAAATTCTCCTTTACACTTTCTGTCTGTATATGCCTCTTGATTTTTTTTTTCTTTTTTACTGCTGGGGATTGAACCCAGGGCCTTGTGCATGCAAGGCAAGCACTCTACCAACCGAGCTATATCCTCAGCCCCTGCCTCTTGAATTTTTGTCGTTGTTGTTAGAAGTTGTCCTCGCTGTCAACCAGAGATTAGTAGCAAAGTTTCCTGGGAAGAGTAGAATAAGCTGATCTCAACTAGAATTAAGCTACTTCCCCTATGTACTTCCTTCTTAGTTGTAGCTAAGTGCCTCTAAAAATTCTTTCCTTATAGGATTCTAGCCCAGTCAGTCCATTTTATCCATGTCAGTACCTTTCTACCAAAGGGTGAAAGATGGTAGGCGAAAGAATTGCAACTTTGTTTTTTTGTGATGCTAGGGATCAAATTCAGGAGCTCACTATACTAAACACTTGTTCTACCACTGAGCTAAATTCCCAGCCCTTTTTAAAATTTTTATTTTAAGATAGGATCTTATTGAATTACCCAGGCTATCCTTGAATTTGTAATCCTTCTGCCTCAGCCTCCTGAGGTTACAGGCATATGTCTCCCCCATCCTTTTGTAATTAGCATTCTTATTTATAGGCACAACTATTTGTCAACTATATATTTTTCTACTGGCAGGTAGGCAGTGATAACATTAACACAATTTGATTGTTATGTGATTAATAAGTAACAGATCATGTATTACATATTATTTCAAAATAATTTAATGTAATATATAATGATTCATTAGCTTAACATAAAGGACTTATGGTTTTAAGACTTACATCACTCAAAATTAAAATTTTAAATGAGTGGTTTAATAAAATTTGACAGGATGTTTAGCAAAGTGAATATTTGCAGTTTTTAAAAGATATGAATGATAAATCATAAATTATACTAGGTTTTCGTTTTGGTTACAGAATTTCGAGGATGTTCGATGTAAATGTATCTGTCCTCCCTATAAAGAGAATTCTGGACATATTTATAATAAGAACATATCCCAGAAAGATTGGTAAGTATTCTGGATCACTGAATTACCTGCCACATTTCTTTCTGTGGTTGTTACTGTTGGCTCAGGATGTGTATCCAATGTGTCATTTTCTTTTTAAGTATATCTTTTTTTAAGCAAAAAAAAAAAAAGAAAAGAAAAAGAGTAAGGCTAAGGGCATGATATAAAGCTAAAAAACACTATATTTCCCTCCACAAGGAAAGTTTTATATGCAGATGTCACCGAGTAGTTTTTATTTTCTTTAATTTTTTTCCTTTTAATTGTTGATGGACCTTTATCTTATTTATTTATTTATGTGTGGTGCTGAGAATCGAACCCAGTACTCCTACATGCTAGGCAAGTGCTCTACCACTGAGCCACAATCCCAGCCCCAGCACTGAGTTTTTGGCACCTAAACTACCCATTGTTACCTGCCTATGCCGCACCATTTGGTGAGGGGCCTTTTTCTCTCTCACTTTTCAGTGAAAGGTAAGCAAACCTTCATCTGAATTATAATTTGTACAACATCAGTTTTGATAATATTTGGTATTGCCACATAGAAGAGGCTATGTTTAAAAGTGTCAGAGCTCTCAGGAATGATGATGAATGAACTATATATATATTAGTTTCCCATTTGGTGTGAGTAATTAGTTTGTATGTATACAGAGATAGTGATCCTTTTGCCTTCAGGCAATCAGGCAGACCTATAGTGATTGGAATCCTGACTAGCCAGCCACCAGTAGCCTTTGTTTATCACAGTAGACCTTATAAATGATAGCTTTGTACACACACACACATTTTAGTTGTTTAGTATTTTAGTTGTTGATACATTTTATTTATTTATTTATTTGTGGTGCTGAGAATCAAATCCAGTGTCTCATGCATGCGAGGCAAGCACTCTACCACTCAGCCCCAGCCCCAGCCCCAGTGATAACTTTTTCTATATGCTCCATGAAACAGTTGGGAAACAGATGTGTTATAGTAGGATGGGTGTATGCCTTCCCATAGAATTGTGATGTTCATAGTTTATTGGTGTTCATAGGGGTTAGGTATCCAAGGAAAATAGCTCTAAATGCTAGCTATTTTCACAAGAATCTGATTTCATCGCTCAATAATCAGCAAAGGGTCTGAAAGCAAGATTAAATTCTTTCTGTCACAACTGACTTTGAAAAAGAAAAGCCTGCCTTTGAACATGGTTAGCTTCTCTGATGTCATTGTTTATTCTTCTCATGATGAATGCTTTTAGGTTTAGTCTGTTTGATGTGTTCCTGAGAACTTTTTGTGTTCCACTTTAAAAGGTTTCATATTACAAAGTGATTTGACAATATTATTACAGATTTTGTATCAGCAAGTTACTTTATATAATGCAAAAAAAAAAAACACAACACCTTCAAATAATCATTAAGTTACTTCTATAAATTTTCCAAAGATTCTGAAGATTAACAAGATCAGTTTTGTTGTCAGTAAAAGAATATGAATTCGGGTTGCAAATAAACTCACTGTTCAGTGATTTATACCAATCTCTTCACTAACTTTTTGTTATTCCAGGCTCAGATAAAGCCATACATTGTTCATTCCTGGTTATTAGTCAAAATAGAGCTTTGAAAATAAACAGTTGAAAATAAGCCTTGTTTGAGATTTTTCTTCCTTCCCTTATCCCAATTTCCCTTGCTTCTTTCTTACAGCTTAACCTTTTACTGGAATAGTTTCCCGATTGGCACTGAAATTTTTAACTTGCCTTAGAAAGTAAAACAGGTTGTCATCAATCAGGATATTGTTGCTTCCTGAGGCCTCCAATATCAATATATCCAGAACATAAAAGAAATGGATGCCCAAAGGTACAGATGAAACATGTAGGTCAGGCATTAGATTGATGGGGGTCATATGCTGAGTACCCGTTGCCTATTTCTGAAATTAGGAATAGATATTTCATTCTGTGAAGGGTATAGATGAAGTCAGGCTTCCAAATTTATTGTGGTTTGTGTTTGGGGTGTGGTTCAAAGCTATAATATCTTCCTTTTGACACTAGGGGGAACTGTTGCCTAGTTCCCAAGAATAGCTGAACTGCCTCTAGGTTTAGCTCTGCTCCTGACTGGTTGGTTTGAATGAACCTCCCTGCTTCTTCAGTGCAAGACTTGCACAACTGTTGCACAGTATCCAACACCTGTTGTTACTATAAAGTATTTGTCCTTCAAAAGAAATACTCAATATTTACTCGGCACTTAGATTCTCAAGTAATTCTTAGGTATTGCTGAGGTTTATGAACCTGAAATAGGAAACTTTTATGGTATTACTTATGGAATAGCTTACTCTTATTTGAAATTCTACTAGTGAATATTTAATTTTTTATTACTGTTGTTAAAATTAATTACCTGTTATGATAACAGCTTTTATCATTTATATCATTTTGTGTTTTCTTTCAAATGCCACATTTCATAGGTAACAGAGCACAAAAATGTGCATTTTGATAGGACAAAGAAAAGGACTCAGCTAGAGCATTGAGTGTCCCCAAGAAGAATGGGTGGGGTAGGATAGGTTGCTGTAGTTGAGTTATTGAATAGTTTAAGCCAGAAATGTCTAAGGAAGAGTACCAAAAGGAAAAAAAAAATTGCTCTGTAGCCAGCAGGACAGAAAAACTTTGCCTCCTTTTGCTGAAGGTAATCAGAGTGGTAAACTCTTAATAGCTGAGAAAAGTAATAAAAATGTGTGATACCTGCCCCGGACATAGAACAGACATATATCCCACTAACACAGGCATTTGTAACTGTTAACAATAGCAACTGAAAATAGACCACTATTATGTATGTGTCTTTATTACTTCTTAGACTATAAAATCTTACCAAAATGCTAATATTGAGAGAGGAAATGTTTTCACTTTGCTTTATTTGTTTCTTATGTTCTTTCACTGGGGTAAGTTCAATGATATTTCTGGATTTCAGGAAGTTTTGATCAGTGCAAGTACAAAATCAAGCCAGGCTTTAGCAATATTTTATTTGTGTTTTCAGTGATTGCCTTCATGTTGTAGAGCCCATGCCTGTGCGGGGGCCTGATGTAGAAGCATACTGTCTACGCTGTGAATGCAAATATGAGGAAAGAAGCTCTGTTACGATCAAGGTGAAATATACATGGTCTCTAGACAAGACAGAAAATTTGAACCCCCTTTCCAAAAGGGATAATGGGCCTGCCTAATTGAGTTGCTTTGTGGTTATCGATATGTTAGATAGATACGTAAAATGGATAGATGTATTAAAATGTGCTATGTTTAATCATCATATTCCAGAAATATCCTAGTTTCTCTGTTGGCCATGTACACCAAAGGCTAGTGGGACAGTAGCATGATTAAGCCCTCCATTCACTAATCTCCTAACCCTTTGAATAAGTTTATACACACACACACACACACACACACACACACACGTGTGTATGTGTATATATATATGTATATATATATATATATACATACATACATACATATACATATATAACTATTTCAGAAATATTAGTTCTAATTTTAAGATTTCCCTTCTTCAATTCTTATAGGAAATGGAATATACATAACTCTCATCGCTATTTGGATTCTGATGGGCTCAATTTCTTTATTATAGTTAGGACTAATGGTGGTTTTCTCAAGTTTTTTAATATGGTGCTTACCATTCTTTCCTAAAAAAAAAAAAAAAAGCTTTGTTGTAATGGTCAGTCATAATAAGATTTCTGCTATGATAGACCCCACAGGAGAGCTCCTGTTCCAGCAGGGTTTAGTACTACAGAGAAATCCTCACTGTACTTTGTCTTTTTACATAGTTTTTGGGCACATATAATTTATGTGCCCAAATTTAAAATTTACTCATCATAAGTGTCAATTATATAAATTTTAATAAACTTAAAACAACTTTTTAAAATATAATTTTAAATCATTCCCATTACCCTAAAAATATCCCTTTATGCTCATTTATAGTTAATCCTCATTGCTGTCCCCAGCCCGAAACAATCACTTGATCACTATTCTACTTTCTATCAGTATATATCTGAACATGTCATATAAATGGAATTATGTAGTATATAGTCTTCTGTGACTGCCTTTTTTCATTTAGCTTAATGGTTTTTATTTATTCTTATTTTTTTAATATTTTTATTAGTTTGATGGACTTTTGTTTATTTATTTGCTTATATGTGGTGCTGAGAATCAAACTCAGTGCCTCACACATGCTAGGCAAGCACTCTACCACTGAGCCACAACCCCAGCCCATGGTTTTTTTATAAGTTGTAGCAAGTATCAGTACTTTATTCTGTTTTATTGTTGAAGAGTGTTCCATTTTATTTTAAAAATATATTTTATTTTGAGACAGGGGGGCCTTGCTTAGGGGCTTGCTAAGTTGCACAGACTGGCTTTGAACTTGGGATCCTCCTGCTTCAGCCTTCCGAGCCATTGGGATTATAGGAGGATGCCATTGCACCTGCCATAGTGTTCCATTTTATGAATATTCATTCCTCAATTGATAGACATTTGGGTTATTTCCAGATTTATACTGTTAGGACTATCTGTGTACATGTCTTTATGTGGATATAGGTTTCCCTTTCTCTTGGGTAAATTCCATAAAGTAGTAAGCTTATGTGTAATTTAACAGTCAACCAGATTGTTTTCCAAAGTGGTTGCACCATTTTGCCAGCAGTGTATGATGTTTCTGTTTCTCCACATCCTTGTCAACAATTGCTATTGTCTATTCTATTTTATTATAGCCTTCCTTGTGTGTGTCTCATTTGTGTGGTCAGCACACAAATTAATATCCCAAGAAAATCAGTGGCCTAAAAAGTGTTTCTGTAGACTTAAATTGATCTAAAAGAGTATCCTGTTGAAATTTATCTGAACTACATTTTCTGTTACGATTCCTTTAAATTGTTTTAGCAAGACTTCTTCTAGGAGACTATGTTCAGGTTAAAAAAAAAAAACAACAAAAACTGCTATGTTAGCAATGGTGACAAAGGATTAGTATTAAGTGAAGATGAAGTTTTTGAAGATTCATAAAAAGATCCCAAAGACAAAATGCTTTTTCTCCTTTATCTTAAATAGTACTTTGGTAAAGATTTGAGTTTGTGTCTTATTAGAATCTGGTTGGTATAGAAATCCTATATGCTTGGCAGATAAATCAGTCTTCACTATGGCTTTACAATTATCATGACAAACTTCTGATTTCTTGGTTTGATTAGCAATGTAACTTATTTTCAATTTCGTTTAGGTTACCATTATAATTTATCTCTCTATTTTGGGGCTTCTACTTCTATACATGGTGTATCTTACCCTGATTGAGCCTATACTGAAGAGACGCCTCTTTGGACACTCACAGTTGATACAAAGCGATGATGATGTTGGGGTAAGTTTCTAGCCTGCCTTAGCTGCTCATAGCCAGTGTCTGTCATCATCTGATGTAAAGTGAAATTAAGCAAATGAATAGGCCAGGTGCAGTTGTACACTCCTGTAATCCCAGCAGCTTGGGGCTGAGACAGCAGGATCACAGGTTTGAGGCCAGCCTCACAACTTAGCAAGACCCTAAGCAATTTAGGGAGACCCTGTCTCAAAATGAAAAAAATTAAAAGGGCTGAGGATGTAGCTCGGTGGTAAAGTGCCCCAGGGTTAAACCCCCAGTAGCAAAAAAAGCATTGCACATGGAACACATCCTCAATCTGAGTCACTAAAGAGAGTTCTAATTTTAGTGTCTATCTCTTTATGAGGAAATCGTTCTGTAAAGCCATAATTTGTTACTTTAAAATGATGACCCATATTCTGTTTGCCTTGAGAAAAACATCTGATATAGTTTTCTTCCCAAGTTCCTGCCTGAAACACTTTTCCTATTAGTATCACCAAATATTTTAGAAGGCAAAGAAAATTTGCTAATGGAAACCATGAAGACACAGCATTCTTTTCTTATTGAAATATAACTTGATGACTTTCTGAGGTTTTATGTTTTCCTCCTGTTTTTTTTTTTCAATATTTGTTTTTTAGTTTTAGTTGGACACAATATCTTTATTTTATATTTATGTGGTGCTAAGATCAAACTCAGTGCCTCAAACATGCACTCTACCACTGAACCACAACCCCATCCCTCCTCCTGCTTTTAAAAAAAAATTCAGATCCTCCTTCAGTCTTTTTTTTTTTAATTGTAGTTGGACACAATACCTTTATTTATTTTTTTGTTTTTGTGTGGTGCTTAGGATCAAACCCAGGGCCTTGCATGTGCTAGGCAAGCACTGTACCACTGAGCCACCACCCCAGCCCTCCTCCTTCTGTCTCTAAAACACATTTATATTTGTACAAATAGTTGGCATAATCAGTATATAAATTGATGCATTGTCTCCTTTTCATTTTAACATTACTTAATTTAAAAGTATCTAGATATTGATTTTGTCCATAGCTTGATATTCAGTATAGTTTAGAGAATTGTATTGTTTGATTTATCATTATCCTGTTTGGGATTATTCTTTAATTTTCCACTATTTTATTATTATATATAATTAGAAATTACTTTTTTGGGCTGGGGTTGTGTCTCAGTGGTGTGTCTCAAATGGGGCACTGGGTTCAATCCTCAGCACCACACAAATAAATAAAATAGAAATAGTGTCCATCTATGACTAAAAATTTTAAATGTTTTAAAAAAGAAATAGGAATGGTGGCAGTGTAATCCCAGCTTCTCTGGAAGCTGAAGCAGGAGGATTACAAGTTTGAGGCCAGCCTCAACAATGGTGTTAAAAATAAATAAATAAATTAATTAATTAATTAAATATACAAACAAATGGGCTGGGAATGTAGCTCAGTGGTCGAGTGCCTTGGATTCAATCTCCAGTACTATAAAACAAACAAACAAAACAAGAACAACAACAAAAGAAATTATGGGCTGGGGTTGTAGCTCAGCAGTAGTGCACTCGCCTAGCACATGCAAGGCCCTGGGTTCGATCCTCAGCACCACATTAAAAAAAAAAATAAAGGTATTGTGTCTAACTACAACTAAAAAATAAATATTAAAAAAATAAAAAAAGAAATACTTTTTCTATTGAAATATTTTATTGGACTATGTTCCTGAAAGAGATAAAATTCTTTATAGTTTTAACAATCAATTCTAAAAGCCAAGCCTGAGTGAGCTTGCCAACCAGTCAAGAGTTCTTTTACTCTGGAATGCCTTTGTGGACCTGTTGGTAAAAGCTAGGAAAGGAGACCCTGGCTAGATGATTTGAGTTGTAACTATAAATAGAGCCTGCTTTTTTTTTTTTTTTTCAGAGAGAGAGAGAATTTTTTAATATTTATTTTTAATTTTCGGTGGACACAACATCTTTATTTTATTTTTATGTGGTGCTGAGGATCGAACCCAGCACCCCGCGCATGCCAGGCAAGCGTGCTACCGCTTGAGCCACATCCCCAGCCCCCAGAGCCTGCTTTTTGGAACAATAAACTGTTGTCTCATGAGTATCAATTATAAATACTTAGCTTATTTGGGCAAGATTTATTTATTTATTTATTTTTGGCAAGAATTTTCATAAAAGCACCTCTCTTTACCTCTTTTTCCCTTGCTGTTTTTATTCGACCAACATATAATGAGATAATGAGTTAAATATTCTGTTCTTGTTACTAGGGATAAAGAGATGAATAAAATAAAAAAAAGTAAATGAAATTACTATAGTGGTTTCTCCATTTTATTTTTTATTTATTTATTTTTTTTGAGAGAGAATTTTTTTAATATTTATTTTTGAGTTTTCAGTGGACACAACATCTTTATTTAATTTTTATGTGGTGCTGAGGATCGAACCCAGTGCCCCGTGCATGCCAGGCAAGCGCATTACCACTTGAGCCACATTCCCAGCACTCCATTTTATTTTTAATATAAGAAACACATATTTACTGCAAAAGAATTCCAGGAGGAGACTGACAGGCTGGGATAAAAGACTAGAGATCTGATGTGGTCAAAACCTAGGCATAGTGATGGAATTAATACAGGGAAAGCTGGAAAAACAGATGTTGTATGTTAGAAACTAATATTAGAGCCTCTTATACTATTTCCATGTTTAGGGTTTCTCAACACTGACTAGCTATCTAGGGTCGAATAATTCTTTGTTCTGAAAGGATATCCTGTTGTGAGATATTCAGCAGCATCCCTAACTTCTATCTACTAAATGCTAGAAGATTAATGCTGCATGATTGCTATTCCAGTCACGGCAATCAAAAATGTTCACAGGCATTGCTAAATGTCCCTGGGTAAGGAGCAAAATCACACCCAATTAATTGAAGAATATTGTCACTGAGAGGCCTGGCTGACCCTTGGATACCTGTTAAACTAATTCTCGACAGGGAGAGGTTTTCTGACCAGAGCTATGAATTTATGGCAACTCCACACACAAAAAAGTTAAATTCCTGTAATTGTTAGACTCAAGATATAAGTTTTTCCTTATTTATATACTTTTAAGAATGCTTTTTAAAAATTCTTAGTTTTCATTTTTGTTCAGTGTAAAACATTTTAAAGCACAAATAGTTAAGAAGCTCATTGCAAGTAGTCATAATATTTACTGTATCATATATCCATGACACATCATCACTATTATCAAAGCATTACATTAAAACATGTTTTGTATTCATTGTAATTTTATCAGGTGTAAAAAGAACAAACATAGGAAAAAGATAAATCTCCTGTATTTGCATTCTCTCAGCATCCATGACCACGAGCAGCTAGTTCAATCTTGTTCTGATATGTGGAGAGCAGAACAAAAGGATTAACTAGTTTGTTTAGTCTTTTGAATATGTTCCTTAAGAAGATTTTTCTCCCCTTACCATGAAGAGTAGAAAACATGAATGTGAAACTGCAGGGTGCTCTTCTGATGAAGTACATCCTTCTTCCCAGCCTTGTTTGTGTTAAAACAAGCCAATGGTAATAATATTTGATATACAAGTTCATTGAAACACCATATTCCTATAGTGTCATTTTAATCTACCTGAATAAAATATGTGTATTGAGAAGATCTAACATCAAATCAAGTTAATTAGGCAAGCTAAATTTTAAAATAATTTGTTAAATGACCTTGGATTAGTTTATTTCCCTATGGGGAATCAAGTAAACCTATAAGTTTAGCCTTCCTTTGTGTTTACCTTCTTTTTTAAACTGAAAAAAATTTGACTTTATAGTATTGTCTTTATTATTTTCATTTGTAAGATTAAAAATAAAAAATAAATGGGATTTGCACAAGCCATTACCATTAAGTGAAAAGTAAATGATATTTGGATAAAGAAAGCAAGGAAAGCCAGGTTCAGTGGCCCACACCTGTAATCCCAGTGGCTCGGGAGGCTGAGACCAGAAGATCACAGGTTCAAAGCCAGCCTCAGCAACTATGAGGCACTAAGCAACTCAGTGAGACTAACTCTAAATAAAATACAAAATAGGGTTGTAGATGTGGCTCAGTGGTTGAGTTTCCTTGAATTCAATCCCAGTACCAAAAAAAAAAAAAAAAAAAGGCAAGGAAAGATTCTTTTTATAGAAAACTCTTTGAGCATGTAGACATGGTTTAAATGTTGTGCTATGAAAACAAGACCAGGTATCATAACACCATATAGTTATGTGGTTATTCATAGCTTTTCAAATACTTGCTGACTCCTGCCCTAGATATATAATATAGCTTTTTAGACATGCATAGCAGAACAATGTTGTTTCTTTCCTTGAGGCAAAACTTAGTTTTAGAGGTCTGAATTGTGACTTGCTTGCATCTTGTGTTGGAATATTTAGAAACTTTGCTAATAGGAGTTTCAGGAAAAAGAGATCAAGGAAAGGCAAAACAAAAACAATAAATTACTATTGAATGCTTTTTATCATTTAGGCAGCTGTGTTTATATCTCATTCATAGGTAGATTAACATGGTGGTTTCCTGTGTAATGACTACAAACATCCAGTTGCATTAGTTTACTTTGGCTAGGAAAGGTTGGTTTTCTACAGATATCAGGGTAACCCTTTAATACCTCTTTCGTAAGACAGTAACTAACATGGAAGCCATTGGGTGCTCAGCAATGAAAAATTCAAGTCTTTGTAGAATAGAGATGCTGAAGTAAATCAATCCTCATATTCCTTGGAAATAGAAAGAAATCATAGCACTTGATTTCTTTTCATTACAGGGTAGAGAAGGGGGAAATTTGAAAACTACCCATTTAGTTTGTGTTAAGAGTATAAGGAGAGCTGGGGATGTGGCTCAAGCGGTAGTGCGCTCTCCTGGCATGCGCGGGCGCTGGGTTCGACCTCAGCACCACATAAAAATAAAATAAAGATGTTGTGTCCACTGAAAACTAAAAAATAAATATTTTTAAAAAGAGTATAAGGAGAGATTAAAACCAATCAAGATAAGATCCTGTCAACTTATCTGCCATGGCAAATGCGGCCCCAAGCAGGCAAATAAATAATTTTAATATAATGGGAGTCAGGAAATTTAAAGATATATTTACTCTGTCACAGATGCTTTTATAGTATTAATTAAAGCAAGGAAAGCCTTTCATTCTGTGTAACACAGAGATATGGATATGAAAATAGACTTCCTTTGCCCTACTAATCAAGGAAGACTTCTCTTTAACAAGAATGACCATTGTGGTCTGGGGTTGTGGTTCAATGGTAGAGCACTTTCCTAGCATGGGAGAGGCACTGGGTTTGATCCTCAGCACCACATAAAAAGATAAATAAATAAAGGTATTGTGCCCATCTACAACTAAAAAAATACTAAAAAAAAAAATTTTTTTTAAATGACCATTTTATTTGCCTTGGTCTCTGCTTTTTAAGGGAAATGTCTTTGGAAAATGTGACCCATGGAAATGTTTCACAAATATCCTTCTCACTTATGTCTCCTAAACCACCTTTTTCCATAGATTTCATCCTTCTTCTGCATAGAAGTGTATAGTCACACAGCTCTAATGTGTGCAGCTTTGAACTAGGACTGGTATTCTATTGAAAAATTCACCTGTTCCCATCTCTGTGGCTAGCTAACTGCTGTTTTGTGTATACTTTACGCTGGTCTTGGTCATCTCTGATGTTCTCTATCTGGACTTGCAGGATCACCAGCCTTTTGCAAATGCCCATGATGTGCTGGCCCGCTCCCGCAGTCGAGCCAATGTTCTAAACAAGGTGGAATATGCCCAGCAGCGTTGGAAGCTTCAAGTACAAGAGCAGCGAAAATCTGTCTTTGACCGACATGTTGTCCTCAGCTAATTGGAAATCGAATGCAAGGTAACTAGAAAGACACAAGGAAGACAACTGAAAAGAATTGACTGAGTTTTCCTGGGTTTTGTTTTAATACCCTGTTGTTTTCACTGATTCTTGCTGGAAGACTCAAAATTGGAAGCAAAAACATGCTTAGTATTTTTTTTCTGGTTAACATATTAATGGAGACATTTTTAAAAGCACACAGTTTGGAGTCAGTCAATAAGCCTTTTCCTACTTTGACTTTTACTAATAAAATTATATCTGCCTATAAATTATCTTGAAGTCCTTTACCTAAAATAAGCACTCTCTTTTTCACCATATAGTTTTAACTTGATTTTCAAGATAATTTTCTGGTGTTCTTTGTTTTTATTATTGTTTTTGTTTTTTTGGCGGGAGAGAGGAGGGATATGTGGGAAGTGCTTGACCCAACTTTTCTCAAGTTACTTTACAAACAAACTTTTGTAAATAGACCTTACCTTCTATTTTCAAATTTCATGAATATTTTCCAGTGTAGTTGGCCTCATCAAAGTGCTGACTTACCGGTTTGACTTTTGCACTGACTGTATTAATCTTGGTATTTGGTTGGCCTGTGGCTTCATTTTATGGTAAATTGGATCTGAAATGCCTGGCAGCTCTTCACAAAAATGCAGATTTTCTTCCTGTACTGTGATGTCTGATGCAATGCATCCTAGAACAAACTGGCCATTTGCTAGTTTATTCTAATGACTAAACATAGTCTTGGTGTGTGTGGTCTTCCTCATATTCTCCTAGTATTTTTAAGGACAAATCCTAAGGACTTGGACACTTGCAATAAAGAAATTATCTTTTAAACCCAAGCTTCCCTGGAGTGATGACATACTGGTCAGTATTTCTGGTCAGTTGAGAGGCAATGGTTTAAGCTCTAATGTGTGCAGCTTTGAACTAGGACTAGAATTCTGGGTGCCTCTCTGAAAAGTATAACAGTTATTGGATAACTGGCTTTTTTCTTCCCATGTCCTCTTTGGAATGTAACAATAAAAATAATTTTTGAAACACCTATCAGTGTGTCTATGTTCTCTAAGTTTCTTCTCCCTCTTTGCTGTATGATTAGCTTGAAGATACAAGGACATTTTGTAACCTGTTGTAAGACAGTTTTATACCAATCTAATCATAAAACACTGGCACTAAATTAGCTGTGTGTGCTAATGTATGGATTCTTAGGTGAGTCTCTGAAAAGTATACAAATATTCTGATAATTTGAGACATGTAAAAATTCCCCAAGGATTGCTTGTTCTAAGAAGTTCTTAACAAGTTCTTGGGAGCTATTGATTTTGTTGTTGTTTAGGGTTTTTAAAAAATTTTTAGCACCCAAAAATCTAACCTAAAATTAATTTTATTGTTAGTATTAAAAAATAATAGGTTCAATCATGACTGAGTGAAATTTATCCCACAGCATACAAGACTAGTTCAACATTTTAAAATAATATAATCTATCACTTTTAAAGAAGAAAACCAGATGATCCTATCAGTGGACACCAAAAAAGAACTGGACAAAATCCAACACCCATTCATAATAAAAACTCTCTCCAAGCATGGTGGCACATGTCTGTAACCTAGCAACTTGGGAGATTGAAACAGGAGGGTCAGAAGTTTGAGGCCAGTCTGGGCACTTTAGTGAGACCCTGTCTCAAAATAAAAAGGAAAGGGGGCATGAGAGCAGAAAAGATGGTGGAATGAGATGGATATCATTACCCTAGGTACATGTATGACTGCACATATGGTGCAACACTGCATTGTGTACAACCAGAGAAATGAAAATTTGTGCTGCAGTTGTGTACAATGAATCAAAATGCATTCTTCTGTTATATATACCTAATTAAAATAAGTTAATTAATTTTTTTAAATTAAAAAATAAAAAGGGATAGGGGTGTGGCTCGGCACACCCTGGGTTTAATCTCCAGTACCACAATCAATCAAACTAGGAAGAGAGGGGAACTTCCTAAACCAGATAGAGAATGTATACAAAAAAAAAAAAAAAAAATGTACAAACATTGTATTTAATAATGAGAAACTAGAAGTTTTCCCACTAAGAACAGGAACAAGGCAAGGATGTCATTTCTCACCATTTCTTTTTTACATTATACTGGAGTCCTAGCTAATGCATGAAGACACGAAAAAGAAATAAAAGTTATACAGATTAAAAAGGAAGAAATAAAATCATCTTTGTTTATAGATGACATACATGATTGTCTGTTGAAATCCCAAAAGAATCAACAATAACAAAAAATCCTGGAACTAATAAATGATTATAGTAAGGTTGCAGGATACAAGGCTAATATGCAAAAGTCAATTGCTTTTCTATATGCAAATAATGAACAAGACGAATTTGAAATTAAAAACACAAGAAAATTTACATTAGCAACCCTAAAAAATGGCATTTTAAGCATAACTCCAACAAAATATGCATAAGATTTAGGAGAAAAATCACAAAACCCTGATAAAGAAGTCAAAGAATTGAATAAGTGAGGGATAGTCCATACTCACTGATAGTAAGCCTTGGTATTGTCAAAGTGTCTGTTCTTGCCACCTTGACCTGTAGATTCAATGCAATCCCAATCAAGATCCCAGAAAGTTACTTTGTAGATATGGACAAACTGATTTTAACATTTATTTAGAAAGATGACCAGAGGAGCCACAAAATATTAAAGGAGAGGGCTGGGGTTGTGACTCAGAAGCAGAGTGCTGCCTAGCATGTATGAGTCACTGGGTTTGATCCTCAGGACCACATGAAAATAAAATAAAGATATTGTGTCCACCTATAACTAAAAAATGAATATTTTTTAAAATATTAAAAGACACTACAAAGTCTGAAGACTGACACTACCCAACTTCAAGACTTAACTATAAAGCTACAGTAATCAAGACTGTATGGTATTGACATAAAGTAGATGAATAGATCTTTCACAAAAAAGCAAAATGGAGAAAAAGATAATCTTTTCAACAAATGATGCCAGAACAAACAACATCTACATACAAAAAGATAAATAATAATCTAGACACAGACTTTATAATCTTCCTAAAAATTAACTCAAAATGCACCATAGGCCTACAAGTAAAATGCAAAAATATAAAATTTCTAGAAATAACCTAAGAGAAAATCTAGATGGTGATGCCTTCTTAGATAAAACTCTAATGGCATGATCCTTGAAAGAAATAATTGTGAAGCTGAACTTCATTAAAATGTAAAACTTCTACAAAAGATATTGTCAAGAGAATAAGAAGGTAGGCCACAGACCAGGGGAAAATATTTGCAAAAAGCATATTTTTGATTATTCAAAATATACAAAAACACTTAAAAACTCAACAAAAAAGGAAAAATCTAATTTGGCAAAAATCCTAAACAGGCATCTCACCAGAGAAGAAATACCGATGGCAAATATATCTAAAAGATGCTCTACATCATATGTCATTGAGGAAATATGAATTAAAACAACAATGAATCCAGACATGGCACATCCTGTAAGCTACTCAGGAGGCTGAGGCAGGAGGATCACAAGTTCAAAGCTAGCCTCAGCAACTAAGTGAGGCACTAAGCAACTCAGTGAGACCCTGTCTCTAAATAAAATGCAAAATAGGGCTGGGGATGTGGCTCAGTGGCTGATTTCTCCTGAGTTCAATACCTGGTACTCCCCTCCTCTGGAAAAAAAAAAGAAAGAAAGAAAGAAAAGGGCTGGAATGTAGCTTAGTAGTAGAGCCCCTGTGAGTTCAGTCCCCTTTACTACCACTATGCATCTATTAAAATGGCCAAAATCCAGAGCACTAATTCCAAATACAGAATGTAGAACAACAAGAACTCTTATTTATTGCTGGTGGTAATGCAAAATGATACAGCAATTTTGAAGAGTTTGGTGGTTTACAAAACTATATTATATGATCTAGCAATTGTGATCTTTGGTAATTAGCCAAATGAATTGAAATCTTATGTCCGTTTGAAAACCTGCACATGAATGTTTATAGCAGCTTTTGAGCTTTCCAGCTATGAAAAGACGTAGAAGAACCTTAAATTCTATTACTAAATGAAAGAAGCCAATCTGAAAAGCCTATATACAGAATGATTCCAATTATATGACATTCTGGAAAAGACAAAACCATAGAAACAGTAAGAAGATCAGTGGTTGTAGGGGTTAAAGAGAAGGGAAAGATAAATAGAACATAAAGGATGTTTAAGGCAGTGAAACTATTGTGTATGATATTGTATTGGTAGATATACACCAGTACACATTTGTCAAACCCATAGAATATAAATATAAATTTATAGACTTTGGGTGATAATGGTGTATAGGGTCATCAGTTGTAAGAAGGGTACCTCTAGGGTGCAGGATATTGATAGTAAAGGAGACAGTACGTGTGTAGGCGCAGGGAGTATATGGGAACTATGTGCTTTCTGCCCAGTTTTACTGTGAACCTAAAACTGCTCTAAAAATAAGAAAAAATTAGTATTTTTAAAAAGATGTAATGCTGAGCATGGTGGTGCATGCTTGTAATCCCAGTAATTCAGAAGGCTGAGGCAGGAGGATCCCAAGTTTTAGACTAGCCAGGGCAACTTAGCAAGACTCTACCTTAAAATAAAAAGTAAAAAAAAAGAACTGAAGATGGCAGTAAGACACTGTGGTGCATGCCTATAATCCCAGTATCTTGGGAGGCTGATGCAGGAGGATTGAAAGTTCAAGGACAGCGTCAGCAATTTAGTGAGGCCCTTAGCAACTCAGTGAGACATTGAGACTCTGTACATGCTAGGGTTGTGGCTCAGTGGTAGAACGCTCACCTAGCACATGCAAGGCCCTGGGGATGGATCCTTAGCAACACATAAAAACAAATAAATAAAGGTATTGTGTCCAACTACAACTAAAAAATAAATATTAAAAAAATACATATATATATGTATGTATGTATATATACACACACACACACACAAAATGCTGGGGATGTGGCTCAGTGGCTAAGCACCCCTGGAGTCAATCCCCGGTATCGAAAAAAAAAGAGAGAACTGGAAATGTATCTCAATGGTAGAGCGTCCCATGTTCAATCTCCAATATAACACATACACCCACCACACACACACACAAAAGATATAAGTTCTTATTGACCCTTCTAGTTCTGGCATAAATCTCTAAAAGAATATTGACCAATATTTGCACATTATGAGACTAAAGATCTTTTCCATAAATAATTTTGATATAAAATCATATATCCCAGATGGATGCAGGGGCATTCTTTAAACAAAAGAATTTGTTACAAGTGTGCAGTTTTGAAAGCAAACCTTTCTTTTTAGTATTGTCAAGTGTTGTCATGCCTACATATTAGGTAGAAAAACAGCTAAACCAGAACCAAGCAGTTCTGTTTAACTGTAAACTACTTTGCATATTGTTACTAAATGACCACCTATAAATCAGGTTAAATCTGACTCAACCCAAAATACAACATCTTGAGCGACAAAACTCAGGTAAGAGACACTTCTCCAGAGTGACCCATAGGAGAAAATAAGAACCTGATTTTTAAGAAAGTCCCTAGATACTATTTTTAAATTATACATTTTGTCAATCTTATATTCCATTATCTTAAAATACAAATTATTGTCCATGTTACAAAAGATCTAGATTTTACTGGTGCTTAAATAACGTGGAGGAGTGGGAAGTATTTTGTGCTACTACCTTTGCAAACTTAGCAACATTTACAACCTCTGAGGGATGGGAAAAGAGGGTTTCTAAGCTTCCTCCAAGCTCTGATATTCTATAATTCAATTATACGTGGTTTTTACCTGCCAATATTTTTTAATCTATGAAAACAGAAGCTTTTATAAAGTTCAGCAGAGCATCTGGAATCTCTTAGGATTTTATTATTAAGAGCTCATCATTTATTTTCCAAAAGGGCTCTAAGATAGAAACCCAAGATTTTCCCAAGATAGGTGTATTTGTTAGTTGGTCATGTGTTTGTAATCATGGAGCCCCAGCACTAACAATCCATGCTGCCTTCCTTTAAGATAAACTTGTACTTGATTCCTACAAACACATCTAGCCTAGTGGAGTCTCTACTAGGCTTCCTATCTTAATTCTCTTCACTGCTGCATTTTTTTCACACTCTTACTCTGTTGTTTATGGCTAAAATGTCCTCTTTGAATGAAAGGTGATCATATTTAGATGGTACTACATTGATTGGTGGACTTATTAGAAATGCTCAATTAAAAAAGAAAAGCTTCTTTATCAATATGTCCCTAGATACTTTTTTTCTAAGAATTACACAACAACCTAGAAACTTTTTTAAAGAGAGAGAGAGAATTTTTTAATATTTATTTTTTAGTTTTTGGTGGACACAACATCTTTGTTTGTATGTGGTGCTGAGGACTGAAGCCGGGCCACATGCATGCCAGGTGAGCACGCTACCACTTAAGCCACATCCCCAGCCCTAGAAACTTTTAATTACCTGTAGTATATATCAATTACTCAGATTTCATCTGAATCAAGATTTAAGATGTTACTTCAGTTATGCTTCAGAGTAAAATCATATCCAAAAATGTAATTTTGCATAATTAACTTTGATATCTGCTTTACTTTTGGGGGGAACCTGTTGTAGTTAATAAATTCTGGTTTGTTAGCTGTACACAAAAATAAGAATGTTAGGGCTGGGATTATAGCTCAGTGGTGAGAGGCACTGGGTTCAGTCCTCAGCACCACATAAAAATAAATAAACAAAGATATTGTGTCCACATTAAAAAAAAATCTTTAAAAAAGTAATAAAAGAGTGTTGTCAGAACTACAGTTGTGCAGTCTCCACATCCATTTGCCATCATTTTGTAGCTTCTGCCATACATATTCATCTTGCCCTCTAGATTCCTAGCTTAGGAATTTCCCAACTAGTTTCTCTCAGCAACTTTTTCTATTTGACAGAATCTTGGCTGGTTGTTAATCTTCCAGAGATTTTTGTTTTATGTTAGTTATTTGAGGTCATTTGGTCAGTAATTTGGACTCTTTCATTTCCTGTTCCTCTGTTTCAATTTTTAATTGAATATATCTCACTTATCTCATCCTCCCTCACTCCCTTTTGTAGAAAGAGTGTTTCCTGGCATTGACTCCTTTTCCAGCCTTTTTCACCATGACTTATAACCCTTCTCACTCATCCTTCTCCCCCATCCAGAACCTTGCATATTCTAGACAAGTGCTCTCCTCTGAGCTACATTCCCAGCACCGCCTTTAAAAAAACAAAAAAGGGCTGGAGTTGTGGCTCAGTGGTAGAGCATTTGCCTGGCATGTGTGAGGCCCTGGGTTAGATCCTCAGCACCACATATAAATAAATAAAATAAAAGATCCATTTACAACTAAAAAGTATTTTTAAAAAAATTTTTTGAGACAGCATCTGCCTGCCTCCTAGTTAACTAGTTAAACTACAATGCCCCTTAAAAACCTCTAGTGGCTACCATATTATAGTTAAATGCAAAAAATCAATAGATGTTGTAAAATGAGGTAGGGATTTGGGGTATAGCTTAATGGTAGAGAGCTTGCCTCTTCAGCACAAAGCCCCGAGTTTAATTCCCCAGCATTGAGGAGAAAGTAGATGGGATTATAACTGTGATTAGTAAGTGAGGATTTTTGATGCTACAAAAAAAACAACACTAAATAATATTGACTCACTGGTGAGAAAGTTGTTCCCATTCCAATTCTCTTTCAATCCTTGTGACCTCAAGTTACAGTCTTAGTCTGGTGCAAACATGTCTTCCACATCACTAGAATGCCTTCTAATCTCCCTCATACAACAAGAATAATATCTAGCCTGAATTTAATATTTGTACTGTTAAATGCTATTTATTGTGAATTATACTGATTTCACATTTACAGTAGGGTTATAAAGTTTCTTTTAAAAATAAATCCTTGGGCTGGGGATGTGGCTCAAGCGGTAGCACGCTTGCCTGGCATGCATGTGGCCGGGGTTCGATCCTCAGCACCACATACAAACAAAAATGTTGTGTCCGCTGAAAACTAAAAATAAATATTAAAATTCTCAAAAAAAAAAAAAAAAGTAAAAATAAATCCTTTTGAGGGGCTAAAGATTTAGCTTAGTGGTAGAGTATTTTCCTTGCATGTTGGAGGCCCTGGATTCAATCCTCCAGTACTGCAATAAATAAATAAATCTGATTGAGTAAAAAAATGTTAAGTGTTTTTTTAAAAAATAAGTAATAGTACAAGCGAAACACAGATGTACTTTTTATCACTATGGTATATGCAAATAACTGAAATTTAGGAAACACTGAAACCACAATATTCAATACACATTGGGAAAAATTACAAACTAGTTAATGATCATGCATCTTCACAGGTATAGGCTTCTTAAGTAATACCTGATATGCCAGGGGAAAAACAAAATAAAAATAAGAAAGGAATCATTTGTTCTTAAATATTTACTATAAAATTTTTTAAAGAAACTCCCTCACACATTTAAAACACAGAACTTAATTGAGTAAAGTGCAGCTATATTCAGATTTTGTGTCCCCTCCCACTGCATCCCATGGAGCACAAGGATAAAGTATTATACTCCAAGGGGTCCCACACCAGCACATTCCCTCTTCCTGAATAGGTCTACATCTATCTCATTTTTAGTTTTTCTTTCTTTCTTTTTTTTTTTTTTAGTGCTTTCCCAAATGAGCTTAGAAACTAGTAATCTAAATAGAAGACTTCAAAACACTGATCTCTAAGAATACAAACCTTGCTCTGTTTTTAATCTGGCCAAATTAATAAACATGGTTATATTTCTAGGTTAAAGACAAAATGACGGACAATAGAAGCTACTCTAATTCACCAGACAAATTTCCTGTCTTCTCTGATTCTGCCCACTTGCCGCTGCCCAGGTCCTTCTATCTGGACCCCATGGTCACTTTCCACCTGTGTCCTGAGGCCCCAGTGCCATCTCCTTACTCTGAAGAGCTGCCATTGCTGCCATTTTCCAGTGACTCCCTGATCATGGAAAATTATGGTGAACCCTGCTCCTTCACATTCCCAATGCCTTATCCAAATTACAGAAGGTGTGAATACTCCTATGGGCCAGCCTTTATCCGGAAACGGAATGAGCGGGAAAGGCAACGGGTAAAGTGTGTCAACGAAGGCTATGCCCAACTGCGACATCATCTGCCAGAGGAGTATCTGGAGAAACGACTCAGCAAAGTGGAAACCCTTAGAGCCGCAATCAAGTACATTAACTACCTACAGTCACTTTTGTGCCCTGATAAACCCGAGACCAAGAATAATGCCAGGAAAGGCTCCTCCCTAATGGCAACCACCAGTCACCATGCTGACCCAATTTTTAGAATTGTTTGAATCAGCATTTCAAAATAGAAACAGATAATTCCACAAAATAAGATCTCTGACAGCATCCTTCAATTGTTTTTTCTGTATGTAATTTCTGTGTGGACAGATACAGTTCCCATGCTAACCTATGCTGGGTATTAATAATACATTATCTTATGTAGACTGATAAAATGCTTTGCTCATTTCTTTCAAGAGCTCTAGTAGAGCAGAATGGATTTCCCAGGAACCTCTGTACTTTTCACCCTGCCCTTCTCACACACTTGGCCCACTTCTCAGGTGTCAGAAGCTCTCACAAAAGCATGAAAAGTGACGAGTGACTACTCTAGTGCTAGAGGTATATTTTGCAGCTACTTTGTGCTAAGCTGTCACAATGAATCTGCCTTGATTTGTCAGATGTTTGGTGGTTCTTATTTATTTGGTGTTGACAAGAAGTCACAATGAGAAAACATCTCAGGGTAAAAACAAAAGTAGTCTATAAAACTTTTTGTCCTTTGAAAAGATTTCAGATTTATCTTTTTCCTGCACTTAGACTTCCTTAGGCAGCTTAGTACAGAGCTTCAGAAGGTAGTCTCTGGACACTAACTGCCTCAGTTTCAAATTTCACTCCTGCTTTCATTCTGGATCTTGGTTCTTCATCTGCAGTGTGTGAATAATAACAGCAACACCCCTGTGTTTATTATGAGGATTAACTGTGCCTAACACTGAGTACATATCCATAACCATTGTTTTCTAACATCATTATTATTTTTATCTTGTTTTGTCCATAGTATTATCATCCTCCAAGCCCAGAAAACTTTCAGCTGCCAGGCCTTTCCTTCACCCTTGGGAAGGAGAGTCCCTGGCCTGTATCTTAGAGATTGCCTTCAAAATGTCTCCATTTCTACTCAAGGCTAGCTTCAGTGCTTCCTTCCCTCTTTTTTTTTTTTAATTATTATTTTTTAGTTGTAAATAGACACAATACCTTTATTTCTTTTTATGTGGTACTAAGGATCAAACCCAGTACCTCACATATGCTAGGCAAGCTAGCGCTCTACTACTGAGCCACAACCCCAACCCAGCTTCTTTCCAACTTAACTCCCAGGTCCCATCTGTCACCAAGCATAGTCAAGACTTCCCTCACACTGTCACATTCATCTTCACTGTCATGTCTGAATTCTTTCTCAACTTCCATTCCCTACCATTAGTTGCACCTTCATTTTGTATATAAACTTCTCTTGTAGTTCCTCTCCTTTTATCATTATGCACTTATCTCTGTATTTTCAGTAGATAGATAACAATCATATTCATTGTATTTTCCTTATAAAGAGCCTCAACTCAGGTAGGTATCAATAAATATATGTTGTTACTATTTTCCTATTCCAATCCTGTCACCTTGCATCTGAATCTTTGTTAACTATGGCTTCTCTGGCCTCCTAGGCTTGTGTTTCCAACTGGTTCTACCCTCACTCTGATGTCTTACAGAGTTTCAGGTTACTTTGTTGCTCCAACTGTTTGATGGCTTCTTTTTAAATTCTTGTTTAAATGTATCCATTTGCTTTTCAAAGCTCACTACAGTCTATTCCCATCCCAAATGGGATAGGACACATACCCTGTCAGAAGCAAACCACAGGGCTGGGGTTGTAGAGCACTTGCCTAGCAGGTGTGAGGCACTGGGTTCAATTCTCAGCACCACATATAAATAAATAAAGATCTATTGACAACTTTAAAAAAATTTAAAGATTTCTTGAAAGTTAAAGCAAACCACAGTCTTTCAAGCGTATTCTTTGCTTTGTTCTTGCCTCCTACCTAATCTAGATTATTCTCCTTTCCCCCTCCACCATTGAAATTCCATTGTCTTATTCAGGACTCCCCTCAATGGCAGCCTTCATCAGTCTTTTTTAGACTCTATGTGCCAAGTAATTCAGCCTTTAAAGTATATGGGCCTGGGCTACAGTTATTCTTGTAACTACAAAATTATGTGTTGTATGCAATCATTGCTTAAGATAATTTGGGTTGCAAGCAAGAAAAAACCCCAGTCTAGATTGGCATAACCAAGAAAGGGACTTTATAGGCTCATATAACTGAAGGACTCAACATTGTCACCAAGGACCTATTTTTATAGGTCTATTCTGACTTTCCCTGGAAATAGCTTTTGTGTCCCCAAAAGGCTATCATGTGCCTTCTTATTTGTACACAGGAAGAAAGAAAAAGTCTATAACCCAGGATTCCCAGAAAAAAGTCTTGAGATCCCTTCTTATTGGAGAGGAACATACCATGCCTAATGAACCCCTGTGACCAGGAACATGAATGTGCTGACACACCTGGAGCTGGGAGTACAGTCTACTTCTCTGTGTATAGGGATCTGCAGACGGAAACAAGAACCCATGGAAGGAGGGAATGGATGTAGGGGAGATATCCACAAATTCCCTACATATTTTTTAGCTACTCAACACAGGGCCAGACACCATCAGTGCACAGTAACTGTGAGATTCCTCAAAATAAGCCTCTTCCTATGGATATTCAAACAAGAACAGAATCTAGACTTCTGTTCCTTTGGTCACCAGTGTCCACTCCCTGTATTCCTAATGGTTACCACACCTCTGCTCTTCAGTAAAGTCCTGTCTGTTTCAAGCATAACCACACCTTTGGTTATTTTGTTTTAAACCTTGAAAAATTCTTGGAGTCCTTAGGCCAGCCAGTGGCTTCCCCCACCCCAGCCTCCTTTCTGTTTAGGGTAGAGTTAGATCAAAAGCACTGAGTCTCATTAGGGGTCAGCTCCCTCCTCACATGACTCCCCTGGATCCGTGGGGGCTTCCCACTGTGAGTGACTGACTCTTCTGGCAGTAGTGAAGCCCGAGCTTTTGGAAATTGGGGTCACACTGTCTTTCACTCCTGCCACAGTCTGGCTGGGCACAAATGCCGCAGTCTGGCTGGGCACACAATCACGAGCCACCACACAGCTTGTAGATTCAAACAGCAACTCTTTATTCCCGAACTCACACCAGCCGTCTACAATCACGTTCTGGGGAAATCCATGTTCTCTGCCCAAATCCACCTCCACTGGGCTTCTATCTCCAAAATATACTGTCTGAATCCCGTGAGAACTCAAGGGGAACTCAGGCAGCAGGATACGCCCTATTCCCAGCAGGAATAATCTTAAACCTTAAACCTGGAACCTAAACTGGGAACGCCCTAAACAAGATTATCTTAAAACCGGGAACACCCTAATCTGCCTTGGTCCTTGAGCAAGGTTAAGTACATTCAATGTCACTGCAACATGGGGTACGCTGGCAAGGAAATTGTCATACTTACTTGGCTAATGGCTCCCAGCACACTCCTCCTCTCTTTTCCCTATCCTCAAAGACAAAGATTGAGAATAGGCCTTCTTTCCTCTTCCCTGTCTCCCATGGCCTTCCTTCATCCCTCTGCACATGCTCAGTGCTCTCACTGGCCTACAGCATTCCTTGCAGACTGCATCCATGGCAACCTGCTGGGCAACCAAGAGTCAGTTGGGCTGAAGCACTGGGCCCCAACTGTCAGAAGGTATCTGAGACTGAGGCAGAGCCTGGGTTTCAAGCTGTGAGTAAGTCCCTTTGGAGTTAAAACTATAAAGGGCAGGACTGATTCTAACAGGGCTCTGGTGGGCTGAAGCAGCTAAGTTTGATCTTGAGTCCTGAGTGGCAACTGTGGCTCTGACCCTGAGAACTCAGCTCCAACGGGTAGCCAGGTTAGGAAGGGAGTTTTTGGCTGGGGTTGGGGTAGTTTGTCATCAGGGTTAGAGTTTGTGAAGAGAAGAGTGGGCTTATCCCTGCCACTGGGGAGAAAAAAGAAAGAAAAAACATACTGAGCTTATAGTCAGCTGCTTTCCATGTCTGCCGAGGTTAAGTGAGCACCCAGCCTAAGGATTTAAAGCTGGTTTCTCTAAAACCACAATTCCTGCTCTTACAACCCCTCCTATCTCCTGAGCTGAGGTTTCTGAGACAGATGATCCAAAGAAGAACTGGGGGTCTTGTGGGTGAGGGAGGGACAAGGATGCAGCTGTCCCTGAGACAGCTAATCTGGAGGTGAGTCCCCCCCCCACCAGGTGCCCTTTGCTGGGCTGTGGGCTGTAGCTCTAGTAACGCTGGTGCTTGTTCCAGGTGGTCTCTCGGAAGGCCATGCAATCCTCTACCCAGCTCGGAATGCCTTTGCCCAAATACTGCAGTGTGGCCACAACACTGAAGACCCCTGGCTGTAACTGTGCTGCTCCATTCTGGGATCTCTCCTTCACCTGCCCCTTTGCCCTCCGAGAACCCTACATCCCCAGGCACCATGCTCTCACAAGGTACCAGCATCAGCAACTCTGGAGGGAGTGGTGGCTGTTTTCTTTTCCCTTTGTTCTTAGTTCTAGATGGAGTCTCATGAGGAGAGAACTTGCTTTCTGTGTAGGCTGACAGGGCTCTCTTTACTGTTTGGCCTGTTGTGTGGGGTATAAGTCTATATTACCCTGGCCTAAGTGGTACTACCAGTGACCCAGGTTGCCTGGCTTTTATCCTTCCCTGGGCTTTACCTTAGTGGCTTCTCACTCTAATTGTGGCTTTCACAATTGGCATCTGTGAGAGAAGGCTTTCAGCGATGACCAGTTCCAAAGTTTCTAACTCATTTTGCCATCAACTATAAGACTTGCTGTGGCAATGAGACTTAGAATTTCTAAAACCAACAACTAAAGTGGTATATCTAGGTTCTCCCCAGATCCCCTCAGTATTCATCCTATATGAATTTCAATTGTCATCAGGGTTAAGTTTTGTGAAGGAAAAAACAGGTTTACTCCCAGAAGTCCCACCTCTGGGTTGGAGGAAGGAGGAAAACACATACATTGAGCTACTTATATGCAAGGCACTTTCTGTGTTTATCTGCTGAGCAGTAACTGAAGTTCAGAGATTAACTGAGCACACAGCTGAGGGGCTTATAAGACAATTGAATATCCTCAACTGTTCAGGATTTTTCTGAATAATATCCTCAGTCATTTGTTTAAAGTGTGACTACAAAGGGGCCAAGCAACCTCAGCCTATAGCTGTTACAAATTGTGTAAATTCCAGGGATCAGTCCATGCTACTGAACATTATTAGTCTGCCTGGGTTAGCAACAGACTTTCAGTGCTCCTTTTTTCGATTCACCTATTTCTACCATCCTGTTTAAGTCCAAATTAAGCATCTTTGTGTTCATTGTTGTCTACAAAACAGTTTCTTTAAAAACCTTAACTCTCAGGCAACAGCTCCCCCATACCAGCTGGCCCTGCCCACCCGCTCCTTTTCTGCACTGGCCTCTCCTTTTCTGCACCACAGCACCTTAGGCAGCTCCTCTGTGCTGCCTCTGCTCCTGCACTAATTCATCCTTCTGAGCCCCTAATGCCAAGTGCTTTACAACTTTGCTCCTTTGGCATTGCAGTCTACACTTCCTTTCCTCATTCTGAAATCTCATATATAGCTTTAGGGTTTACCTCGTGGTACCCTTTTCTGGTCTGTATTTTTAGTTTCAGAACAAACATTAATTAATTTGAATATATCAAGGATAATTATGTTTTGGTTATCTTGGAACTATTTCCAATTTAAAAATTATGGTTCCCTTCACTGTCCTTACCATTTGTCCTTCCCAAAAAGCTTACCTTATCTTACTAGAAGTCATAGATAGCCACATTCCTCATGGATTACTATTCCACATACGCTAATGTGAATTCACACGCCTTGGCACTCCTCAGATCTGTGAAAAGTGGTCCTTAATGTTTTGGAGGTTGTTGTTCATCCCCCTAAATTTGCTTTTTTCCAGGTATTCTTCTTATCACCAGTATCTCCACATTGCTGACCCAGCATGGCAGGGGCCTGGATGGCTGGGAAGAGTTGGAGGTGCCACTGACACTTGGGTCCTGGCTAGAAGGGAACCAGATGGCTTTTATTACCTGGCTCAAATAAAGGCAGCTCCAGAGGCAAGTCCCTGACTCCCAGCATCCCCCTAGTACACTCCTCTAGGTGATCCTATTCTATCTGATTAGTCTTAGCTACTAAGTGTGTCCAGCAGTTCAGTTTCTTAGATAAGCACAGGTCTCCCATAGCCAGACTGTAGAAGTGAACATAGAGTATCAGTGAGCATATTAGTTTGCTAGAGCTGTGTGCACACAAACTGAGCAGCTTAAATAATAGAAGTCAGTTGTCTCACATTTCTTGAAGTCCAGGTATTGGCAGCATTTGGTTCTTTCTAAGGGCTCTAAGGAATAATCTGTTTCCTGCCCCTCTCCTAGCTTCAGTGTTTGCTAGTAGTCTTTGGTATTCCTTGGCTTGCATCACACTGATCTCAGCCTTCAACTTCATATGGCGTTTTCCCTGAGCATGTTTCTGTCCAAATTTCCCTCTTTTATAAGAACATCAGTCACATTGGTTGGGGACCTTCCATGATTATTATGACCTCATCTTAACTAATTTTAACCTGTAATAATCATATCCCTTCCCAAAAAAAAGACATATTATGAGATGGTGAATTTTGGAGAAAGGGAAACACAATTCAACACATAACAGTAAAGAAAATGTACATTTAAAGTACTTTGCTCAGGAAAATCAGTGTATTGAATTGTTGCCACTTGCCTAGAGAAAAGGAGAAAAACATGCCTTTAGGCACACGTGGGTTCCTGTTCCTGCACACAGAGGCTCATTCCTGGCACACTAGGAACCTGATCTGGACTTTACTTCAGGGGCTTCTTACCTCTTTGGGACTTTTCAAAGTCAGACTTTTTAAATTGATGGAAGGAGGATAATGTGAATTCTCAAAAAATATGAATTATAGGATTTCCAATCAGAAGTCATTTTACTATTTTCAAGCAACTAGTAGATCAATTCAAATGTTAGCAGAATTTTGCTACTATACAGGTCCTGTTTTGTGATTGGTTTAAATTATTTATAACTTGATTTTCTCTTCAAAATCATATTGAGTACTCAAACCAACTTCTATTTTGAATTAGCTGAAGTACTTTTTCTGTTGTATACTATTTATTTACTTAAACCTTCCCTCTTGCTGCTGGTAGCTTGGGGACTGCCCTCTGGCCACAATCACACCTAGCCCATGTGGGCCTCATAAATCAATGATGAACTATCCCCAGTTGGTTTTAGACTCTGGAACACATTTGGCAGTATTGGAAGGAGAGAAAAGTCCAGAGAACCCAGGTTACTCCTGGGAATTGTAGACCAAATATTTGGTTGGAGGAAAGAAAAATAAGAGAACAGAAAGAGAAAGACAGAATGTGGTAATAAATAAGGGTTGCCCATTGCAGGAAGTAGAGAGAACAATAGTCCCATTACCCTCCCTGTCTCCACTTCTTTCATCTCTAAGCAGCACTGCCCCAGTCCTGACCTTTATTTGAAGGGTCCTTACTCTTGGTAAGGAAGAACCTTGGCCTGGTTCTGGGTCATTGTAGGGAATCTGGGTGCTCCCTATTGTACTTTCTAATGCCAAATCTTACTCTGTTGTCTTTCCCATAGTTAGAAAAGCAGGGGATCCTGCTTGTGGAATATGAAGTTCCCCTTGTAATGTGCCCAAACCTGCCACCCCAGAAGCAGAGTGTGGTCTTAGAAGAAGATGTCATTCAACTCTCACCATCCAGAGACTATTCACTGCAACCTGGGGACAAGGTGCTGGCACCCTGGGAGGCAGACCGACAGCGGTATGGTCCTGGCACTGTTCTCTTAGGCTTGGAGACAAAAGATCCTCAGAGAGGTAAGGGAAGCTTCTCTGACCCATCAGTCCCCAGAAGGAGCCAGGCTGGGGATAAAGCCAGAGCATATAGACTGAAAGCCATTAAAGAAAGAATCTTGGGGCTGGGGCTCAGCAGTAGAGTGCTCGCCTAGCATGTGTGAGGCACTGGGTTCGATTCTCAGCACCACATAAAAATAAATAAATAAAATAAAGGTATGGTATCCAACTACAACTAAAAAATATTTTTGAAAAAAGAATCTTTATGCCATCACTTGCTGCTTAACTTGGGGGTAGCAACAGATGCATGTTCATAACTTTCATATTTTAGGGAAAATAACTCCCAACTACCATTAGCTGAACCATAGTGTGGTGGGATTATTCCTGGATTCACACCAGGAGTCACCATTCATCCCTCACCAAGTCCTCTAGGGTCTAGGACTGAAGCCCACAGGTCTATAAGGAAGTGGTGATCAGGGGCCCATGAGGATGTCACTCTTGCCTCAGGGGTAAGGGCTTTATAAGTTTTTACCCCCAGAAAGTTGAGAAATTATTTTTTCAAAGAGAAACTTTCTTGGGTGACTCCTCTGAACCCTGGTTTTTGGCATGGGTGGGAGTGTTTATCAGTCAGCTGAGGTTGTATTTTATGAGGGCTACAGCTTTCTCAGGCGCCAACACTTGTACAGGATCTCAGAGAAGGGTGTGTGAGGATCCAGGCAACAGAGCAGAGAATTCAGCTGAGGCTTTTTGCCTTTGTGGATGGGAGAACTCTTATTATTCTAACCCAAAGAAGAGGTAATTGTAACAAAATGTTGTTTTTTTCTGTTATTTAGCATCAAAGGAAGAAATCACTGTTCACTTCTGGAATGGCAAGACAGCTAAAGTACCTCAAGGTGGGGTCAGGTGGGTGCCCCCTGCTGCCTGGAAGAAGGCTGTGGAGAGGCTGCACTGGCCTTGCACCAGGGAGGACCTCAGTCCGCTCCTCTGGGCCCCTTGCTGCTCTCTGTTGGGGCCAGTCACTGGATGCACCACCAACCTGCCTCCTCTGGATGCTCCTTTCCTGTGCCCTCCCTGCCAACCCCATGCCTGCTGCCGGCTGCTGTGCCAGGGCTGCTTCTGCTGCTGTTCCTTGATGGGCCCCACCTGGTGGCCTCTAACTAGGACTTCAGAGATCACAGCCAGGGAATTCCTGGAGTCAGGACTGAAGCCCACAGCACAACTTTTGCCTCTGGAGGGTTCTAAAGAGGAGGCAGTAGCAGTGCATGCTCCCATGGCTATTTCTTCCTCCTCCCCTTCTTCTTGTGAAGAGTCAGATAATGAGCTGGAGATGGGCCTTCCCCAGAGACTGATGGTGAACAGCGCAGTCAACACTGACCCCATCCTTCCTGAGAAGTGTTGGAGGCAGAGTGGCCCCTGCCAGCCTGAGTGGAGGTATTGGAGGAGGAATGGATCTGAACCACGTCCTGGGAAACCAGGTAAACCAAAGGCACTGCGTTGTCTTCCAAGATAGGTCTGAGGCTCCCCATCCATGTGTGTCTTAGCAATTGGATGCACCTGTCCACTCTGTTGGGCTTGGGAGTAATACTTTGGAGACCAGCCAAGTGGAAGGGGAGACTATGAGAAGAGAGAAGTTATAGGGTTCCATTTAAACTGAGAGAGGAAGGATGGGCTATCCTTTGTGCTAAGGTTTGATATTTTTTTCTTTCTTTACCAATCTCTTTTGAGAGGAAACTGCCATTGTCCATGTTTGCTCCCTCCTTTTTTTTCCCCTGGAGGCCTTGATTTTTCTCTAGTTGAACAGTTAAAAATGCCTCCAGGTGTTGAGATTTGAGTTGAGGCCATGAGAAGCATAGAAATAGGTCCTTAAAAACATTGGTCATCAGGCCACATTCTCCAGATGAGCCCCATAGTAAGTCAAAATGGGAAGGACAAAGCACTACCTCATGCAATTCTTTACAACTAATAGAGGAAACCATGCTAAATTGTCATGCTGCCATTCCCAAGCTTCTTTACTTCGAACTGAGGACTATGACATGGCTTGATGTATTTGAGAAGCAGCATATTATTAATCTGCTCCAGACCCATTCTATCTAAATTCCTAATAGGGCCTAGAAAGAACAGAAGCCTAGGTCAATTGGCAGAGCTGTGTGGAGAAGGGGGCCTGGATAAGCCCAGCCTTAGGCTAGATTCTTGGAGCCCTGGAGACACTGATTTAATGTTCATTGCAGAGGCATCTGGGGCAGGCATACTGTGAGCACTAAAGAACATCACTGCTAAGGGCTTAGGGGTCTCTAGCCACTGCCCACAATGGGACCCACAGGGAGTCCTTATTTGGAGCCATTGCCTTATTTCTAGGATAGCTCAGCTAGAAGGACTGCTCAGCCCATGAGGATGTCACTCTTGCCCCAGGGGTAAGGGCTTTATAAGTTTTTACCTCCAGAAAGTTGAGAAATTATTTTTTCAAAAAGAAACTTTCTTGGGTGACTCCTCTGAACCCCTGGTTTTTGGCATAGGTGGGAGTGTATATCAGTCAGCTGTAGTTGTATTTTATGAGGGTTGCAGCTTTCTCAGGTTTCCAAGCTGTGGGATCTTTTCCCCACCTCTGATAGGGAAACAGAAGCATAACAATTCACTTATGATCAGCTGAGATCTTCCTCCTCTCTCCAAGAGGAAACTGTGTATTGAAAATATAAGGTGGAGGGGAAAGGCCTTGAACTTCGATGAAATGGATCACTCTGTTCTCACAATGGTAAGCCTTGGCAACAGCTACTTGGAAACAGCTCTAAGATCTGCCCTCCCAATGAGTGATAACATAAAAAAATGGTGCCAAAATTGTTTTCGTACAAACTTTTCCATAGCTTCTACTGTCTCTTGCTTCAGCACAGCCTGGAGAAACAAAATCTGTACTTATCCAACAGAAAAGTTGGTGGGAACAATTGAGATAGCACCAGGCCTAGCACAAGAGAAGGGAACAATAAAAGGGCGACCAGAGGCTACATGGTAGTCAGGCCCCAGTTACCATGTCTGCATTCTGCGGCTGTGGCTTGCTCCATGGCAATCTCTAGAATGGTTCCAAATTAAAATCCAAATTTTCCCTGGCTCTACACATTCACCACTCTTATCTCCACTGCCCAAAGTCACTTAAAACCTATATTTAGTCTCTCGCCCCATCAATACACTTTAAACAGATTCAATCCATTACCCCCCAATTCTAATAATTGACTGTAAAGAAGATAAATATACTATCTTTTTAAGTACTGTTTCTTTTGCTATGCCTCAGGGAAAGTTAATTCCAGGTCTGAACCCTGAGAATCATCAGGCATGTTCCCTAATCTTTGGACAGCAGGCCTGAGATGGGGCCTTGAGAAGGGGGCCATCCCCAGCCCTTGTCACAGATGCAATACTGTCAGCTAAGTAGAAAAGTTGAAGTGTATCAAACCATGTATAGACCACGGCTGGAAACAATGACAAATTACAGCTTTATTCTCCCCTCCAGACTTTAAAGAAAATGTGCTGCTTTGCTTCTCCTAAAAGATTGGTATTTAATCAGTACTAGATATCAGTACTTGATCTGACAGTATTTGATCTGACAGCATTTGATCTCAGTGCGGTCAAACACTAAAGCTTGATGGTCTTCAGCCTGCCTCTTATGAAACCTCTTAGTTTCTTTCAGCATAGGCAGCAAGAGGTCACTGATCCCAGAAATCCTAGGGAGGCAGATTGTGGGTTGCCATCCCTCATGGTGCTCGCTTCCCTGAAGACTGAAACGGGATTCAATCTGCAATATTAAAAAATTTAAGTATTCCTCCCTTTTTAGATTGTTCTTCTGTTCCACAGAAGTTCCATTAGATTTTTGTCTCATTTAACTCTTTTTTTTAAAATAAATTGTCGATGAACACGATACCTTTATTTATTTATGTGGTGCTGAGAATTGAACCCAGTGCCTCATATGTGCTAGGCAAGCACTCTACCATTGAGCCACTACCCCAGCCCATTATTCAACTTCTTAAAACTTATTTTTTAAAACCATCAGCCTACTATCTTTCCTTTGTAATCAATGTTATTGATTAGTGAAGGAGTAGAAGCTTCTTCAATTAGAGGCAACTGGTTAATTTGTTTCCTCTATTGGCTGTTTAAAAGAACTCTGATAACTTCTTCCCTCCCAACTCCAAATTTGAGTATTAGATAATGACCTTTCCCCAAAAAAATAATGGCCAGAAGTGATTAACAAAGTTTATTTCTCTTTAAAGATACAGAATATGGATTTCCAGTTTTCCCAGCACCATTTGTTGAAGATGCTATCCTTCCTCCATTGCATGCTTTTAGCCCCTTTATCAAATATAAGATAGTTGTAGTTTTGTGGATTGGTTTCTGTGTCCTCTATTCTGTACCATTGGTCCAGCCGCCTGTTTTGGTACCAGTACCATGCTGTTTTTGTTACTATTGCTCTGTAGTATAGTTTGAAGTCTGGTATCGCTATACCGCCTGATTCACACTTCCTGCTTAGCATTGTTTTTGCTATTCTGGGTCTTTTGTTTTTCCATATGAATTTCATGATTGCTTTCTCTATTTCTACAAGAAATGCCGTTGGGATTTTGATTGGCATTGCATTAAACCTATAGAGAACTTTTGGTAATATCGCCATTTTGATGATGTTAGTTCTGCCTATCCATGAACAGGGTATATTTTTCCATCTTCTAAGATCTTCTTCTATTTCTCTCTTTAGGGTTCTGTAGTTTTCATTGTATAAGTCTTTCACCTCTTTTGTTAGGTTGATTCCCAAGTATTTTATTTTTTTTGAAGATATTTTGAATGGAGTGGTTGTCCTCATTTCCATTTCAGAGGATTTGTCGCTGATATACAGGAATGCCTTTGATTTATGTGTGTTGATTTTATATCCTGCCACTTTGCTGAATTCATTTATTAGCTCTAATAGTTTCTTTGTAGAGCCTTTTGGGTCTGCTAGGTATAGAATCATATCATCTGCAAATAGTGATAATTTAAGTTCTTCTTTTCCTATTTTTATGCCTTTAATTTCTTTCGTCTGTCTAATTGCTCTGGCCAGTGTTTCGAGAACTATGTTGAACAGAAGTGGTGAGAGAGGGCATCCCTGTCTTGTTCCAGATTTTAGAGGGAATGCCTTCAATTTTTCTCCATTCAGAATGATGCTAGCCTGAGGCTTAGCATAGATTGCTTTTACAATATTGAGGTATGTTCCTGTTATCCCTAGTTTTTCTAGAGTTTTGAACATAAAGGGATGCTGTACTTTGTCGAATGTTTTTTCCGCATCTATCGAGATGATCATATGGTTCTTATTTTTAAGTCTGTTGATGTGGTGAATAACATTTATTGATTTCCATATATTGAACCAGCCTTGCATCCCAGGGATGAATCCTACTTGATCATGGTGCACAATTTTTTTGATATGTTTTTGTATCTGATTCACCAGAATTTTATTGAGGATTTTTGCATCTAGGTTCATTAGAGATATTGGTCTGTAGTTTTCTTTCTTTGAAGTGTCTTTGTCTGGTTTAGGTATCAGGGTGATGTTGGCCTCGTAGAATGAATTTGGAAGTTCTCCCTCTTTATCTATTTCCTGAAGTAGCTTGAAAAGTATTGGTATTAGTTCCTCTTTAAAGGTTTTGTAAAACTCTGCTGTATACCCATCCGGTCCTGGGCTTTTCTTAGTTGGTAGTCTTTTGATGGTTTCTTCTATTTCCTCAATTGATATTGGTCTGTTTAGGTTGTCTATATCTTCCTGACTCAATCTGGGCAGATCATATGACTTAAGAAATTTATCTATGCCTTCACTATCTTCTAATTTATTGGAGTATAAGGATTCAAAATAATTTTTGATTATCTTCTGTATTTCTGAAGTGTCTGTTGTGATATTGCCTTTTTCATCCCGTATGCTAGTAATTTGAGTTCTCTCTCTTCTTCTCTTTGCTAGCATGGCTAAGGGTCTGTCGATTTTGTTTATTTTTTCAAAGAACCAACTTTTAGTTTTGTCAATTTTTTCAATTGTTTCTTTTGTTTCGATTTCATTAATTTCAGCTCTGATTTTAATTATTTCTTGCCTTCTACTTCTTTTGCTATTGTTTTGCTCTTCTTTTTTCTAGGATTTTGAGATGAAGTATGAGATCATTTATTTGTTGGTTTTTTCTTTTTTTAAGGAATGAACTCCACGCAATGAATTTTCCTCTTAGAACTGCTTTCAATGTGTCCCATAGATTCCGATATGTTGTGTCTGTGTTTTCATTAATCTCTAAGAATTTTTTAATTTCCTCCTTGATGTCTTCTATAACCCATTGATCATTCAGTAACCTATTGTTCATTCTCCAAGTGATGTATGCTTTTTCCTTCCTTCTTTTATCGTTGATTTTCAGTTTCATTCCATTATGATCAGATAAGATGCATGGTATTATCTCTACTCCTTTATATTGTCTAAGAGTTGCCCTGTGACATAATATATGATCTATTTTTGAGAAGGATCCATGTGCTGCTGAGAAAAAAGTGTAACTGCTTGATGTTGGGTAGTATATTCTATATATGTCAATTAAGTCTATTAATTAACACAATTAAGTTATTAATTGTGTTATTGAGTTCTATAGTTTCCTTATTCAACTTTTGTTTGGAAGATCTGTCCATTGGTGAGAGAGGTGTGTTGAAGTCTCCCATGATTATTGTATGGTGGTCTATTAGACTCTTGAACTTGAGAAGAGTTTGTTTGATGAACATAGCTGCACCATTGTTAGGGGCATATATATTTATGATTGTTATGTCTTGTTGGTGTATGGTTCCCTTGAGCAGTAAGATTGGCAGCCATTATGAAGTCAAACAACAACAAGTGCTGGCGAGGATGTGGGGAAAAGGGTACACTTGTACATTGCTGGTGGGACTGCAAATTGGTGCAGCCAATTTGGAAAGCAGTATGGAGATTTCTTGGAAAGCTGGGATTGGAGCCACCATTTGACCCAGCTATTCCCCTTCTCGGTCTATTCCCTAAAGACCTAAAAAGAGCATGCTACAGGGACACTGCTACATCGATGTTCATAGCAGCACAATTCACAATAGCAAGACTGTGGAACCAACCTAGATGCCCTTCAATAGACGAATGGATAAAAAAAATGTGGCATTTATACACAATGGAGTATTACTCTGCATTAAAAAATGACAAAATCATAGAATTTGCAGGGAAATGGATGGCATTAGAGCAGATTATGCTAAGTGAAGCTAGCCAATCCCTAAAAAACAAATGCCAAATGTCTTCTTTGATACAAGGAGAGTAACTAAGAACAGAGTAGAGACGAAGAGCATGAGAAGAAGATTAACATTAAACAGGGATGAGAGGTGGGAGGGAAAGGGAGAGAGAAGGGAAATTGCATGGAAATGGAAGGAGACCCTCAGGGTTATACAAAAGTACATACAAGAGGAAGTGAGGGGAAAGGGAAAAATAATACAAGGGGGACAAATGAATGACAGTAGAGGGGGCAGAGAGGGAAGAGGGGAGGGGAGGGGAGGGGAGGGGGGATAGTAGAGGATAGGAAAGGCAGCAGAACACAACAGACACTAGTATGGCAATATGTAAATCAATGGATGTGTAACTGATGTGATTCTGCAATCTGTATATGGGGTAAAAATGGGAGTTCATAACCCGCTTGAATCAAAGTGTGAAATATGATATATCAAGAACTATGTAATGTTTTGAACAACCAACAATAAAAAATTAAAAAAAAATAATAAAAAAATAAAGATACAGAATAATACCAGCAGCTTACAGATGCTTAAGTTCAGTGACCCTTAATGTAGTTCCACTTGTCATAAAGACCAATCTCATCAAAATTGTAGCATATTCACCATATCTAATTATTTTTGATTTAGGAATAAGAGGTTGCAACATCTGGAAAGAGAAGGACAACAAACAGCAGAGAGTACAAACTGCAGTAGTGAGGACTACCAAGGAGCTGACCCTGAAAGCAACCAATATGAAGCCACTGCAGACCCTGCCAGAGGAAGCTGAACATAGAAAACTAAGTCAGGGACACATCCAAGGGACAAGAATTCCCAAGAATTCAAACTAAAAGCCCTGGGTGGTCTAGGTAAAGCAGAATGGCTGAGAAGGGTCATTTCAGGGGCTCCTTACATAGTTCAATCTATCTGGAGTCACAATCACTGTGTGAGTTATAAAACCCAGGGCTCCCTTTTCCAGAAAATTGTATTCATAATTTTGTATATAATTTCAGAAGGCTTATAGAAACCATGAAACTCATCATCAGTTTCTTGTGGGAAGGGAGGTACAAGGAAGGCTCTCCATTTAAATAATGCTGTCCCATGACATTAGACACAGGTGTGCTTTAGTAGGCCTTCTGTCTAGGTGAGTCTGTTCCTTGCAGGAATGCTATTATAGATCTATTTAAAACTTTATTTTTGTCAGATAATATGTAGCATTTTTCCTGAGGAAAGATTAGCTATGTTCAAAATGATATGATTCAATAGGCTGTTGGTGTGATAGATTAAAGTCTTGGGATATATCAATGACTTTTTAAAAAATTAAATCCAAATGATTCTTGGATTTAAATCCAGTGATTTTTGATCCTTAAAATTTTTAAAATATTTAAAAATATTTTTTTTTTAGTTGTAGATGTACACAATAGCTTTATTTTTATTTTTATGTGGTGCTGAGGTTTGAATCCAGTGCCTCATGTGTGCAAGGCAAGTGCTCTACCACTGCGCTACAACCCCAGCCCTTGATCCTTAGAATTTTAGCATGAGACTCAGGATTTTTCTTTCTATTTTTCTCTTTAACAGAAAATCAAAGGATTATGATGGTAAATACCTAACGAAGAGTTATAAAGAGTGGCTGACAAGACCTTCTTCAATGGAAGGTAGAACACAGGCTGCAGGTGAGAATCAAGTAAGCAGCAGCATCTTCACCCCATTAAGACTTCCCTGCAGATGAGCAGCAGGAAGGCACCACTCATAAGGGGCACAGGAGCCAGTGGCTCTGTCTGGTGGCACTGCTTGAGAATGCCACTTCCACAGAGGCCACTTTGGAAGACCCATAGTAGACCTGCTTTGGGCAAATGTCTCCACAGCATCTCTGCTGTCTTTTCATAAAACCTACAGTTGTACATGGGGAACATTGACCTCTTTTTAATAGCAATAAAATGAATTCTCTGTTTCCAAATCTTTCCCTTTATTATCATAATTAGACTTTACTTGGAAAGCTAGTAGTAAAAACTGTTCAGACAGCATCATCACATTCTTACTTTTAGGCAAAGGAGGATGGGGGACTCTCAAGTTAAAATGGGACTGAAAGAGACAGATTCCAGTTCCCAAGAAGGCTGGCCTCTACAGTCAGCAGTAAAAGCAGGATTAATGTGTAGTTATTAAGAAAATCATATGGTGACTTTATTCTCCTTGCTACTTAAAAAAGAGTGATGTGATAGCAGTGAAGGCCAACATCATACAGGGAAGACCAAGTCCACACTTTGTCCTGAATCAACTGCTACTACATGAGTCTTCTTGGTCAAGGCAGTTGAGCCCACAGTGACAGAATAGGTCCCTGGATATACTTCTATGTAGAGGTCCTTTGAGATGTTCTCAGCCTGAAAGGAAAAGAAGACACCATAAAGAATTTATATCTCAATGCCAACACAGCACCTCCACTAGGCTACCTTTGTGCCAGAGGTATGATGGAATAAAGGACTGATGGAGGAGATAGAAGTTCTGTTTTCAAGGCTCAGTTTGGTCATACAATAGCAATGTCATTTAGATAAACCTCAGCCTTTCCTTAAGCTTGTTTCCTTATTTCGAAAGTTGTGATAATATCCACCTCACAAATAAGCAGAAAACACTTTGTGAATGTTAAAGTGTTATAGAAATATGAAGGATTATAAAAGAACACTCTAGTTGGGGTAAGAATTAGGCAGAGGGACAGACTAATGGTCATTGTTTTGCACTTGTAAGCAGAGATTGACAGTAATGACAAGGTCCCTAGGATAATGGGAAACATTCTTTTTTATTGTGTTTTGCTAAATTTGTTATCAAGAAGATGAAGCACTTCTTTTCTCCTAAAGCTAAAAACAATATGAATGGATGTCATTTTGTCACTGAAGCAGCAAGTAGCTGGAGGAATGGTTCTACGCTGGAAGCTGGAGTTAATGAGTTTAGAGCTGATCTGAGTGCAAATCATTTTATGAAATAAACTTCATACATGGTTGGGAAGTGGATCATGGCAGGTGTGCAGGCAGAAAATGGTTTCAGTAAAGAAGGCAAAAAGATAGAAGTCACAAACCAGAAAAGAGCCAGTAACAGCAAAGTGTCAGCTATGATGCTCATTTATGTTTGGTGAATATTCAGAAGGAGATACACCAGGAAAAATGAAACCACTGACCACCAGCAAATCCACCAGCAAGAATAAATATTTATGAAACTCTCCCTGCCTTGGCCTTCAGATAGATTTGAAGCTGACTTTACAAAAGTTATTTTATGTTATATCCTTGTATTCCCAGTTACTGCAAAACTGGAGGTCTATTATTTAACAAATGTGAATATATATGACAATGCCCTAATTATAAAAAGATGCTCTGTAATTAAGATTAACACTGGGGTAAGACTATATCTGTGACTCCAACACTAAAGAACATCAGGAAGATTAGCATCACCTAAAATCAGCAATGATGGAGGCATCTAAGCCTAATGATTTATATTTGTACTAGAAACAGAATATTCTTAGTTGCTACTAATGCTATTATATTCCAAATCATGACTCCCAGCAAACTGAATATAAACAAAAAGAAATTTATTGTAGCAACATGCTGAAGTTCCTTTCCTCAGAATTCCAGCCCTTCCAAGTTCCAAAAGATTCTTTGAGGCTCATAAACTAATGAGTAATTTTTTTAAAAATATTTATTTTTTAGTTTTCAGCAGACACAACATCTTTGTTTGTATGTGGTGCTGAGGATCGAACCTGGGCCGCACGCATGCCAAGCGAGGGCGCTACCGCTTGAGCCACATCCCCAGCCCACTAATGAGTAATTTACCCAAAAAATGAAATACTCATCATTATACATTTTTTAGAGAAAATGGAAACATGCTTTTAAATGTTTTGGAACCTGATATCTCACCAAATGTATATGTTTCAGAGTTTTAGCAACAGTTGCACTTTATAAAAGCAAGCAAGGTCAGGCCCTCCTGCTGCTTGAACAGATGGTGAAATTCCAGCAGGACCCAGTGCCAGCCCAGCTGAGCCTTAGGAAAGGAGATGTGAATACTTCACATTCTTTCCAACCACAGCTATGAATTCAGGCACAAAGAGCATGTCTGAAATTTTGAAAGAAGGATACCAATAAAAAACAACTTTACACTGAACCAAAATTTTGTTCACCTTCCTTGAGTGTAAAATCATCACAACTTGAAAATACTACAGATTCAATACAAACAGCCCTATAGTTAACAGGTCAAATGGTTCATGGAATTGCAATGGTTGTGAAGCGCAGCACACTAGCAGCTCTGTACTCACCGGCTGGGATGACTCTGCAGCATGTGCTAATGTTTCATAGATGCTTCCTGAACTGAGGGATGTCTTTTCTCTGTCATTTTTCTGAAGAGACAAATATTGATCAGTGCGCAAACTTTGACTTCTGTGTTATAAAGAGAAATTTTCTCCGGCCTTATTAGGAGAATTCTTCTGTACACTTATTTCTAAGTTATCATCGAAGTTATTAAGGCTCTTTTTAGTGAAGTCTGAGTTATTTTTAGTCAGATGCTTACCATGATTACTTTTTATCCTTATATGGGCTTTGGAGTCAGAAAGGCCTGAATTTAAATACTATTTCCAGCTATTTACTAAGTCAGATAGATAAACCTCTTTTAATAAGCTTTAGTTTCCTAGACTATAACATGGGGCTATTTGGATTTTTGGGAGGACTGAAAGTGCACAAGTGATAACACTCAGGCAGTGCTCAGAAAGTATTCTCTTCTGTGCTTCTAGGAGTATGGGTACTAGAAGGGAACAGGCTGACAGAGCCAATTCCCTTAGAGTCACAACTTAAATTTTACATATATAGAGGTCAGGTGCACTTAAGGTGCTCTGATGAGGCCCCCAAAGGGAATCCAGGATGCAAACTCCTACAGCTCTCCATATCCCAGGAAAAAACAAGATGCCTCCAGTCTGTGCTCAGCCCTGCTTCATATCCCTGCGCTCACTGCCTATACTTTTCCTAAAACTCTTTGCTCTGATACCCCAAGGTGACCCACATGCCAGAGAAGTCAGGAGTCTGACATGAGGATTAGGATCAGACTTAAGTTTTTTGGGTACAACTAGAGGAATTCAAGAAAAACAAAATGCCTATTCTCCCCTTGAAAACTACCACCACCACCTCCCATTTAACAAGTAGAACATTTGGCTTCCCCAAAATTTGACATGTGAACAGGTTGGTAGTGAGTGAGAGGCCTGTAACTGTTACTATCTTTAGAAAAAGTATCACTTGAACCCAGGAATTCAAGACCAGCATGCACAACATAGGGAGACCCTGTCTTTTTTTTTTTTTTTTTTTTTTAATGTTTATTTTTTAGTTTTCGGCAGACACAACATCTTTGTTTGTATGTGGTGCTGAGGATCGAACCCGGGCTGCACGCGTACCAGGCGAGCGCGCTACCGCTTGAGCCACATCCCCAGTCCCAAAGACCCTGTCTTAAAAACAAAACAAAACAAAAAAAGGATTTTGAGACCCCCCCTTCCCTTACACTTTTTTTTTTTTTTTTTGGTCGGGGGAGGTAGGAGAGAACAGGGATTGAATCCAGGGGTGCTCTTAGTAAATAGCTGGAAATCCAGCTATATTCCCAGCCCTTTTTGTTTTTTTATTTTAAGACAAGGTCTCCCTAAGTTCAGGAGGCTGGCCTCAAACTTCTGATCTTCCTGCCTCAGCCTCTGAGTCACTGAGATTACAGGTGTGAGCCAAAGAACTTGGCTGCACTTCCTTTTTAAAAATTACCAAAAACATGATAACTATCATTATCTTAATAATATATGTAATTATTAAAAATATCTTTTCTATCCCTTGATGCAGAAAAGGACATGTGAAGCTCTTTTTTTTAAGCATATTCAGCAATCCCCTAGCCCAGGATTTCTGGTTCAACTAAAGAGCCTACAGTGAAATCAGTCTTTTGGATTAGACAAATTCCTATTTCATGCTCAACACTGTAAGTTCTCTAAGGCTGCAAGTTGATATTTTTCTGTTGAGCACTATAATGCTGAGTCACACAGGCATCCAAGAGTTTAGTAGGAACTCCCCCAAACAGGTCTCACATCTTGAGAGACTGAGAGCATATTCAGGACAGTTTTGAAGACACATACCTGACCATGCCTTCTGTAAGAGTACATGTCTAGCTCCGACTTCCCTCTGTGATAACGATAGACATGGGTTGCCCCTCCTTCCTCTGCCACAGATGAATAATATTTCTAGAGAAGTAATGTGAAAGATGTTGGGTAATTAAATAGTCTGGTCAATTTTTCAGTAAATAAATAAATAAAACCTCCAATGCTTGGGCAAAGTATGGTTAAGGAGGAAGGCAAGAGAGCAAAAGTAAATCATGGGTTTTTGAGAGGCCTCTGAAGCCTTAGGCCATGTAAAGTGGCTACAGAGAAGAAAACTGCATTTGGCATTACTTTGCTGCCATCTGCTGCCTCAGTAGGGCAAGAACTCTGGCCAATTAAAGTTGGGCAGGACCATGTTCTCTGCCAGGTTAAATAATTTTTCACATCTTTGCCTCAATGTCAAATACAGATGCCCTTTCCTTTCCTCCCCTGACAAGTTCATCACATGCCCTTTCCTTTCCTCCCCTGACAAGTTCTGATGAACAGTTCCCCATTTACTAAGTCTTAGACAAGGACATGGGAAAAGAAGGGTACATTTGCTTGAGGTTTAGAAATATAGCAGGAAATGAAACATAAACCCAAGAGCTATACAACCTTTCTCCTTAGGGTTCCCATGCAGGGGAGTGGAAGGAGAGGTCTCCAGTTTAATAATAATCCAAAGGATCTGAAAACAGTTACATTTTTCTTGTCTATTTACTTCCCTCCCTCAAAGTTAACCTCAGATTTGCCCTTGATTATGACTAATGATGAAGACATCACAAGCCTGCTTGTTTTGAACATACTGTAGGGACAGTGTCCAAAGCACA